ACCCTGGGGGACCCCCTCTCTGCCAATTAACATCCTCGCCAGTCCGCCGCCGCGCCCAGCCCAGCCCAGCAGCCCAGCCTGGCCGTCTCATCCCATCTCACCCATATTCCCATCTGTCCTCATGCCAACTGTCGCGGCCGTCGACTAACCTCCACCACCATCATCACCACCACCGCTGCTATCCCGCCTCGCCGCTGCCGCCCGCCACGACCGAGCTGCCCGCCCGACGCGTCACGCGCTGCCGCTGTCGTTATCGCCGCCGCCGTCGCCGCCGTCGCTGCCCCCACAATGCAACTCGAGTAAACATCGTGTCGTGCCTCGCCAAAAGCATCGGCCGTTTGTCGCGCGACACTCCAGCCGCAGCCACCTCGACCAACCCGGCCAACCAGCCTGCGGCCAGCCAGCCAGCGACGTCCGACTCGACGCCCAACCAACCAACGCCGCCGACCCCTCGTTGTCCTGTCCGGTCCTGTCCCGTCTTGACCTGGGCCTGGCCTGTGCCGTCCCGTCTCCCAGACCACCAGACTCCTTGTTGCTGGCCGGCGGCGTGACCATGCCCGTTGGCGACTGCGACGCCGAACCGACGTCCATCTAATAACCTCGAAGCCTCCCACGCGCGCACTCGACCTCGTCTCGACGCGCCTGTCGCTGCCGTCACAATCGCCATCGACGCACGCGCCGTGACGACGGCCGCATCGCCGCCTCCACTGCGCCCGCGCGCGTCCCGTTACATTTACATTCGCATCTGATCACGACCGCAACCTTCTCCATCGTCGCTCTCGCGCCGCCTCTTCCATCGCCCCCTCATCCATCGGCACGCCCCCAGCCCCCGGGCGAGACGCCGTCATGGATCTTCGCTCCGTTCTGAACACGTCGGACAATGGCGACCGCGGCCCCCCAAAGACGCCGCTCACCCCTCAGCAGCAGAAGCAGCCGCCGCCCCAGGGTTTGTCGCAGCCTCATCCCGCCCAAAGCCCTGCCCAATATGCCGCCTACCGCGAGTACGCCCAACAGCAACAGCAGCAGCCTCAACAGCAGCACATGAGCCAGGACTATCCCCATCATCCCCATCAACAACCGCAGCAGCATCCTCACGGGGCCTATCCTCAGCCTCCCTACCAGAACGCGTTGCAGCACCACCCGGCCCGTGACGCGCAGCCGCCTCCGCCCATTCGGCCGGCCGGATCCTTTCACGATGCTCGATCCCCCGGCGGCGCACACGTCCCACCTCAGTCGGCCTATCGTCCGACTCCCACACCGACCAATGCCCCCGCGGGTGCCGCCGGATACCCGTTCCCTCCGCAGGCGCCTCCCGAGATGGCCAGCCCCAGCCAGAGGCACCAGTATCCGCCCGCGCCGTACCAGCAGCAACAGCAGCCGCCGCAGCAACAGCAGCCGCCTTCGCAGCACCAACGGCGCGACAGCTACTCGCAGGGTGTCGCGGGACACGGACACGCCTACGTGCAACCGCAACAGGTGCCACAGACTCCCCCCATCGGCACCTCGGGCGCCTCGTCCCATGCCTACATGCACCAACGCTCCCAGTCGACGCACTCGACTCCCACCCCGACCTCGGCGCACAGCCAGCAGCACTTTGGCCCGCCGCACGCACACGCTAGTCCCGTCGTCGCCTCGCAGCCCCATCCCGCTGACTTCAACCGACAGCCTTCACAGCCCCCGACGCCGATAGGACCGCCGCCGCCCGTCGCGAGGCAGTCGACCGGCTTCGCCCAGCCCCCGAGCCCATACCAACAGCGCATGTCGTCGGTCGGCGGGCAGCCCCAGGCCTCGCCCACGAGCCACCCGCCTCCGCCGCCGCACGCCGTCCAGCGCATGCCCAGCTCCTCCCACGCCGCCTACGAGTCGCCAGCCCGAGACTCGTCCCACAGCCGGCCCGTGTCCCGCCACGGCCCCGAGCGAGAGAACAGCCTGCGGGAGAGCAGCCTGTCGGTCAGTCCCCGCACGCGCGTCGCCTCGCTCGCCAGCAGCTCCGACAGGGACAGGCAGCCCCCTTCCTCCTCTGGCGGCCACGAGTCTGAGAGACGGCCCACGCAGGCATTTCAGCCCATGGCCGTCGACACCGCCGACCGCGCCGTCACGCCGGCTAAGCGCAAGCTTGAGGACCGCAGCATGAGCCCCAGGGAGCTCGAGAACCGCCAGCCTCGGCCGCCACCCGGCGAGGTGAACGGACGCGTGCAGAAGCCCCCGACCCCCGAGCCCGCCAAGAAGAGACGGCAACCTCGCGCAAGGCCCCCTACCTGGGCGAATAGCGCCCACTCCCTCGGCAACAGACCCCCCGCGCACCCCAACTTTGTCCTCCAGAAACGTCCCAACACGCACATTAACGGCAAGCAAGAGATCAAGACGGAGCGCACGAGCCGCCAGCCATCGCCTGAGGCGCAGCGGGCGCAGCAGGGCAGCGTCGCCAACGCGCCGCCCGTCGAGGCGGGTCCCCAGGACATCCTTGGCCCGTGGGAGGCGAGCATCACCGGTATCAAGCCCTACGAGGAGGTATCCAAGAAGATTGCCGACTTCATATTCATCAACGCAGTTAACAACCGGGACATCAAGGAGATTGTCAGCCGGGGCATTCACTTCGAGATTGAAGCCAAGCTGGGCACGCTCATCGACAAGGACACTAACCACCGCGTGGAGCGGTTCCTCGACACAGAGACGGTGCTGCAGGATACGGGACGTGTGGCATTTCGAAGTAGCATGACGGAGGTAAGTTTTTCTTGTCGGGGTGGTTCATGGGGGAGCTTTTTTGGCTGACTCGTGCGATGCAGGCCCATCACAAGGCTTTCAACGAATTCCTCAACCAGATGGTGATCCAGACGGACCCCCGCGCAGGCACGAACCGGGTGCAGGTGCACTACAAGCACCGCCGCGAAATCGACCGCTACTTTGAGCTGCCGCCCGACCTGCAGAACCGGATACCCGGCTGCGTACGCTCTCGCCTCGGAGCCCGCGCTCGGAACGTGCGCGTGAGGGTGACGTACGACCAGCGCACGCGCGAGGTGCTCGACAAGATCATCAAGGCGCGCGTGGCCGACATCGACCTGCACATGCCGTCCTGCCCGATGGACTGCCGGCTGAGCATTAACCTTGAGATGCCGTGGGACGGTCCGGTTGAGGAGCTGGAGCGGCTCGCGGTGAACCCGACCGATCGGCAGCCGGACAGGAACAAGGACCGGCTGAGCTACAGCCAGGGACACTACCAGGTCGACCTGACGCAGGTGACGGTGACAAGCCAGGGACCCGGGGTAAGAGCCCTTTGCGGCTGCTATCGTTGTCCCAATCACATGAACACTAACAATCAACAGAATTCCCAGCGGACCGAGAAGGAGCACGAGCTGGAGATTGAAGTTTCGCCCGAGATTGTGCTCGATCAGGGCAACAGGGCGATGAACGGTGCGCCCCATCGGTACCAGGAGCTGATTGAGGGCTTGGTGGATAATGTGCGGTTGCTCGCGCGAAAGGCGCGGGAGTTTGGCTGAGCGAATACCCTTGCGAGGAGACTCTCTTACAGATGTAGACCGCAGCGATCGAGAGAACGGCGGACAGACATGTGGAGTTCACAGCGGCCGAGAGAAGGGCTGGTGGACATGTGGAGACCGCAGCGACTGACAGAGAGGACGGACATGAGGCTCTGGCACGAGAGAGGCCAATGCCGCGAGAGCACGTTGTGGGCGACTGTGCAGTGCAGCGAGACGACATTGTACGTACTATTGTGTAGAACATCAAAACCGGTCACGGACCAGGTTGGTCCTGCGAGGGACGGACGACGGAAGGCTGGCCTGGAGTGGACTGGACTGGACGGCGCGGTGCAATTTGAACATGGACGCCGAGTGCGGCGACATTTTGACTTTCCTCATGCGCGTAGACTTGAGGCATGTTGCATCAGCAGCGGCGTGGTTGAGGGCACCGCCAGGAGGGCATCATTCCCATCGCAGCGGTCTACGCGAAACGCGGCATATCAAGTCGGTATCAAAGAGTGTGTCTTGGTGGTATATACAGAAAGTAGCAGTCGTCTTGCCAGGTCTCCGAATGGAGTCCCTGTCTCTTATACACATCTAGATGTGTATAAGAGACAGCCCCCCCTCTCACCCTTACGCACCACCTACCCATGCGACAAGCGCCTCGGCGTGGCATCCGTCTCGCCATCCTCGCCGTCGCCCTTGGTCCCCTTGCCCTCACCCTCCACGAGCTCAACATTCCGCGCATCAATATCCTCCTCCATCTCGGGCGGCAGCACCAGGTTCAGCAACATGCACACCACGGCGGTGACGGCAAAGCCCGTCTCCATGACGAGGATGATGGCGCTGAGGAAGCCCTGCAGCGCGTGGTTGTCGCCCTTGTAGGTAAACACATTGTCAAAGTACTTGGGCACCAGCGTGGCGCCGTAGCCGAGCGACAGGCCCGTCGTGAGGATGAAGCGCGTGCGCCGGTCAAACGCCGCGCCGCGCACCACAATGGCCATACCGGCCACCGCCACGGCGGCGAACAGAAACGTCGTCATGCCGCCGAGGACGGGCTTGGGGATGGCGACCAGCGCGGCGGCGAACTTGGCGAACACGCCCATGATGATGAGGAAGAAGCAGCACGCTATGCCGGCGGTGCGGTTCGCGCAGCGCGTCAGCGCGATGACGCCGTTATTCTGCGCAAAGCGGCTCATGGGCGTCATGGTCATGAGCGCGGCGACGATGCAGTTGAGCCCGTCCGCCAGTAACCCGCCCTGGATGCGCGACTCGTACGTCCGGCCCTCGACCTCGAGCCGCGAGAGGTCGCACGTCGCCGTGATGTCGCCGACCGCTTCCGTCGCGCAGATGACGTACACGGCTATGAGCGGGAGCACCAGCGGGCCGTAGATGGTCAGCGGGAAGGTGCGTACCCAGATGAAGGAGGCGACCGGCGCCGAGTCGATGCCCGTGGCGTCAAAGTAGCCCGTCGCGCCGGCGATGATGCAACCCACAAGCAGGCCGATGACGACGGACGTGGACTTCATAATCGGCGACCCGAAGCGCTCACACAAGATAATCGTGATAAACGCGGAGAAGCCCAGGCCCAGAAACTCAGCAGACCCCCAGGCCAGCGGATGCGGCGCGTCGATATTCGGACACAGGGCGAAGTAGCTCGCCGCCTCGCCCGCGGAGGCCGGGTCGGCGCACGACCCGCTGCCGCCCATCCAGTCCTTGAAGCCGCTCTCGATGAGGTGCACGCCGATGAGCATGACGGTGGGGCCCGTGACGATGGGCGGGAACATGTTGAGCAGGACGCGGGGCGGGAGGAAGGAGATGAGGATCTCGGTCAGGGCGCAGACGGTCGACGTGCCGATGACGGCGCCGTAGCCGTGCGGGCAGGGGAGCGGCGCGCCCGTGTCCGGGTCGGACGGGCAGAAGCCGTTGGCGTACATTTGGCGGAAGGCGCCGAGGGCGATGGGGATGGTGGAGAAGGAGATGCCGACGACGGAGAGGACGCCGGTGCCGATGAAGTAGCTGCTGCTGGTCAGCGGATGGTCGTGGATATGGAAGGGGATGAGGGACGTGAGCAGCAAGAGAAAGGGGGGAAGGGGGCTTGTGTGAGGGTGTTGGGTAGTGTGGAGAGGGTGTGGTTTGTGGAGTTGTGGTCTTTAATGTTCAGTCAAGCATGGAAGTGAAGAATGTGGCACAAGGAAGTTGTGTGTAAGTGAGGAGTGGCGATGTGCTCAACTCAGGGGTAGATATGGTGTAAGTGAGCAGTAGTGGTGAGCTCAACTCAGGGGTGTATATGGTGTACGTGAGGAGTGAAGGCGAAGCCAACCCCGAGGCGGATGTGGTGTAAGTGAGGAGGGGCAACCAACGAGATCTACCCTCAAGACACGCGCCTCTGGAAAGTAAAGCGACAAGACATAAAAGACGGACATCGCACTCACTTCGTCTTCGGGATGCGCACGCGGTTAATCTGCACCGCCGACAAAATACCCGACACAATCAGCGCCGTCGACACCAGGTACTGCTGGTCCGCGCCCGAGAGGTTCGCGCCGCCGCTGCCGCTGAGGATGATGGGCGGGGTGATGACGCCCGCGAGCATGGCCAGCGCGTGCTGCAGGCCGAGCAGCATGGCGAGGAAGACGGGCATGCGGTCGTTGACGCCGAAGAAGGGGCTGCTGGTGGGCCCGCCCTTGTTCATGAAGGGCAGGTTGGGGCGGAAGAGGAACGCGTAGTCGTAGTCGCCGACGAGGCCGTCGCGCGTGGTGAAGGCGCGCCGCAGGGAGCGCAGCCGCGCGGTGAAGCGGCGCGCGAGGGCGGAGGGCCGGCGCGGGGAGTGCACGACGGGCGTGATGGCGCTGGGGGAGCTGTCTTCGTCCATGGTGGCGGTGGTTTATCACGCTGCTGTGTTTTTGACACTTGGTGGTGTTTATGTGATACCTATGCGGTGGGTTTGTGCGATGTGATGCCCGATGGCAGCTTGGACGTTGCTTCAGGCGTATTGGCCGAAGACCGGAAAGGGAAGGTGGACGGATTGAAGCGCGGGAGTGAGGCCGAGTTCAACACGGGGACATGAGAGAGACGATCTCAAGAATTCTTCAATGGTGACCGAGAGGCGAGGGGCGGCGACTGGCGGTTATTATCAGGCAAACCTGCTGAATCCTGGCGGTTGTTGGGCGGAAACCTGCTGAAGCCGAAGTCCGTTGTGCGCGGCCTGTGTTTGGGGGGGACGCGGTGTTTTGACTCTTTGCGACGCTATGCGACTACCTTCGCAGACGAGGTGTATGAGAGGAGAAGCTGGGGGGCGTGAAGGGGCTCCGTCTTGACGACTCTTGTCGTCGACTTGAATGGAGTACTGCCAAGTACTGAGTGAGAGCTCTATCGACGACCGAGGTTAGTTGCGAGTTCGGAGCAGGGGCGCTTGTTCGCGCGTTGACGGGCTTCGTACCCTGTGTATTCGTCTCAAGCTGTCTAGCCGAGCAATGCCAGCTGCGACTAAGTAATGCAGCGACGAAGCGCAAAAGAGACAAAGCTCAATGCCGTGTGCAGAAACAGTGGTGGTGTTTTGCGCCGAGGGTCACAAGAGTGCGAACGCAGTCGTAGTAATATGTAGTAATAGTAAGCCGATCGGCGGCGGCGGCGGCGGCGGTGGGCAGCAGCAAGGTCGCGGCAAACCCCAGATGCGACTAGCTTCCGAATTGGCTGGCCGGCGGAGGTGGTTCTGCTGGCTGAGCTGGCTGGCTGGCTGGCTAACACGCACACAGACAAGTCAATCTCGTGTGCTTATCAGCAACCCGTGAGCGTGGGGGGGCCGACGATGGGAGGAGGGGCGGGCGGCCCACGCCCTTTTATCAGTTCGCCGCCAGGGCCAGTCTTGTCTGCAACATCAACCGGCGAGTTGCCTCGCGTGTGTATTGCCTCTGGCGGCCTGGACTACTAGCCTGCCGGATCAGCAAGCTTGCTGCGGCGTCCTGGTGCTCAACAGTGACATACATCGAATCGCTGTGCCAGCCATTGAACACACAGGACAGGGGAAGCGGCCCTTGGGGGTGAGCAAGAATGTGGGGAAGGGGAGGAGGGCGTTCGTCACGCATGTCCCCAAGGTCCAACAGCTCTTCGGAGGTGCCCGACAGGAGAGGGCTGATTATTATCTGCGCGCGGCACATCAAACGGTGGCCGTTTCTCCTCATCAGCTTGGTTGCGCTGGGCCATTGGTGCCGCATCGAGTCTGGTCTCCCTTTCCTCCATCCAGTCCCTTTTCCGTTTTCCCCGGCGCGCGCACTGCGTGAATATTCTGGCTCGGCGGCCAAGCAGTAGCCAGAGCGGTGGAGAACTATGCCGGGGGGCCAACTGGGGAAGTGGCATTGGCATTGATCTCGGCGCGTCGACGATCACAGGCCATCAACGTCCACGTCCACCTACGCATTCGGCGCACATACACTCACACGGCCAGCCATGCTTCCAGAGCAATGAATTAGACTCCCATGGCCCGGGCATGCGCCTGGCATTTTGCGGGGGAGGGGCCGTGGCAAGGGTTCCAAGACTCGTGGCTGCGAGATCAATGGGCCAACGGCCGCGGGCCATGACACACAGAAACTACCTACCTGGCGCCCGCCCGCCAGCCTGGTAAATAAAGTGTGGTTTAGCGCGTTGTTGCATGCCCGCCCTGTACTGTGCACGTCCAGCTCCTCTTCCTGCTCCTCCTCTGCTGCTGCTGCTGGTGCCCGCAGGATTTGGAGAAATCGGACGAGGCCGTGTCTTGGGGTACGCCGTGCGGGTTGCTGCGTAAGGCGAAGTCCGCGGACCCCTTTCGCGGGATGCCGCTGCCGCCTCCTTGGCTGCCGTATTTCTCAAGCAACAGAGAAGAGAGAGCGCAAGAAAGGCCGAGAGACGCGGTTTGTTTGAGAGCCTGCTGAGACATGGTTCGGGGCTCCCTAGCACCAGACTGCGTCTTCCAGATCCGAGGCTCCGGACCCGCTGGGGACCCATCTCGAAAGCGACGCTCCGGGTGCGAAAGCACTGAAGCGGGTACTACAGGAACCCTAACGTGGGTGGGATTGTCGATATGTTGCCGCCAGAGACCTCACTAGACGCGCCGTTGCGGCTTCTGCTGCGACGCTGAGGGTTCTGCATGAAGACGGACTTGACGACGACGATCCGACGCAGGAGTGCAGCCGCGAGCACTCAACTGCACTGTCACGTCAGGCCACGACGTCTGCCCTGCGTGACGCTTACTGATGTCACGGAGCCGATGCTCGGTCGGTCGTCCGTCCATTCACTAACAGTCTATTACCGAGAAGAGCCCATATCGTCAGCGGGTCTGCTCCGCTCCGCCGGCGGCGGCCCCAAGGGGCGGGCACGATAAGCCTCGGCCGGGCCTGCGAGCCCTGCATTTGACAACGGGTCTTGGTCTTGGTGTCGGGACGGACCCATTCGATTTACATTTGCATGACTACGACGCCAGATATCGTGAATCATCGGTCCCCATAGCACTACTAACGTACTACATACCATGCTGCCTGTATATCTAACTTAAGTCGTGTGCGCGCGCCCTGTGCTGCACCGGCAATCACACCGTTGTCGCTCCCGCGCGCGCCCTTTACCCGTGATAAGCTGTCGTTGGTTTATTTTATTTTTTTGCCTGTTCCGCGTCTCCAAGTCTGGGCACTATCCGTCCTTTCTCCAACTTTCCCAGACGAGGGGTCGACGCAAGGCACCGGCGAGCTCCGATGGCTCTAGACTCGTGGCTTGCGCCTGGCTCTGCCCAACCTCCACGCCACCCCTACCCCCTTCCCTGCCGCCGCACCCATGCTCAACACCACCACCATCGTGTGCGGCTCCTGCGTCACCGCTGTGGTTGACGAATGAGCCTCCGTTCTGTGCATCGTGTCTGCCCGTTGTCGTCCGCGTTCGGCGGCCAAGCAGCTTGGTGTGCGGGCTGTGCCCAACAGCTTGAGCTTACTGCTTTCATTCAATCATTGCGGTCGGTTTGGTTGTCTGCTCCGGCCCGACGCGTCCTCCCTGGGTGAGCGCAGGTTCGAGAAATGGCCAGGGTCGTTCAGCAGGCGGCCATCTCCGAAGATAGGGATCCTAGCTCGAGATAGCTTGGAAACGGCGCGGTTCAGTACACGTCACATGCAGCGATGGTGTTATTCACTCTTTCCGACATCAAGTCGGTTATCAAACAATCCGCCGGCGGATCTTTCATGCTGAGCTCGAGCTCGAATCTCGGGATCCGCGTCTCATCCGAGCATTGAAATCGCCGGGTCCCTGCTTGCTCGCATCGTGAACTGTCCAGTCCGGCACGGAATACATGTCAGCACATGCAGCCTTTCCGTGCTCTCACCCGTCCAATGCTGGCACCGCACGCACTGCTGGAACGGCCCAGGCTCTCCCCAGCGGTGACCTCCGGCCCTCGGGATCGTCTGCCAAGGCCACGGGCGTGGGCACTACACGTACCATGCACCCCAGATCTCGTGATTACGGAACAATTGCCTCGTCCGGGCGCGGGGAAGGGGATCCTGGAGCCGTTGGCGTCTGGTGCCAGACGGACGGGTGTAGACTGCGACATTGCTCCACAATGGATGACAGCTGGTGACATGGATTGACCGTGGCGCCGTGCCGTAATGCTTGTCAGATGTTTGCCTCTGCAGCCGAAGTGACCACGTATCTCGTTGGAGACGAAGCTTCCTGCCGTCACCGTAGCGGCCGCTGTACGACGACGGGCTCAGCCATTTTCTTCGATATCTTCACTGGCAGTACCTGGAACCTGATATGAAACTTTCTTGGAACCTCATGCAGAGAAACCAGACGCGATCACAGCATAGGAGAGATCATATATGCGTTGAAGCACCAGCATGAGCCCATCTACATGAAAGTGGCTTTGGATACACTCCAAATTCAGAGTTTCTGTCTTGATATGGTTTAGACTGCGGACACACCTAGACAGAGTACCCCATGGGGAAATCCGGGCTGGCTGCCCTCCCGGAGCAACTTGGAGGCATCCCAGCTGATATTACCCAAGCAGCCACCAGCTCACGTCCGCCGCCTCCGGCCGAAATCCTTCACGGTCTGAGGCGCCGGAGCTGCCCGTTCTTTGAAGCTCACCGTAGTGTATCGCCAGCCAGCCCGGTTTTATATCGCCCAGAGATGCTAGACGATGCGGACAACATGAATGCGGCAAGCCGGACAACGGGATGATGCCCCTTTCACACAGATGTATCTCGGAACGTTTGATATTCGATAAATTGATCCCCATACTTGCTGGCCCCGAACCTTCCGAGTTAGGGGTCTCTCATACTACTTCTCTCGCAGCAAGATTCGACGCCGTGCTTTACTCAATCACACAGGGGATCTCCGAGTCCCGGGTTGTGATGTGGTGGCCACAACATTCATGACAGGAAGTGGCTGGACAGCCACTCGAAGCATGCGGAGCGAAACACCTGCTTCGTTTGGAAGCCGGGTCTCGCAACCGTCCCGAGACCAGACGCATTCATCCAAGCGCCATAAGCCACCCAGTACGAGCTGGCAGTGGTGTCACTTGCATATATTCATCGACTACTCACCGGGTTACTCAATGGTTACCTTGCCATGTATCCCATCATCTGCACTGATAATCATCATAACGGGAGTACAACGCGAACTTACACACAGCAGGCATCTCTACCTGCTAATCCGAGGCTCATATGAGCAGTCCTGCTCCTGGTCGTCGTTAGGGATCTGGTAGCGATTCCGCCGCGTTCACGACGCTCCTACCCGAGCCAATGACGCACTGCCCGCAAAATTGTCGACGCTCTCAAAAAAGGGCCTGTCCAGTTCATACAAGCACGTCAAGGTCGTTCAGCTTGTGGTTACCCAGGCCCTCAGGTGGTGACACTCCATACGTAATTTCTGGTAAGAACATCTGCAGATGAAAGTCTTGGAGCCACGTCCCATATGAATGGGCACAAGATCCTCATCTCGTCCCATCACCCACGACTTTACGCTGTAATAATAGTCAGAGAAATAAGAATCCTCAGGTGTGCTGTGTCGCGAGTCCAGCGATCTGGTTGAAGTGTCAATGACGTACTCCAGTTCTGCGTTCTTGAGCCGGGGTGACGCCGTTCCGTTGCAGTTCGAGAATTTCCGCGACGAGGTGGTCCCAGGTGCGGCGCTTTCCAATCACCCTACCGTTGAGGTCTCGAGGCCATTCTTCAAAGGGGTCAATGTTGTCGTGGCAGTACCGGACCGCCACAGCTTCCATCGTAGCAGAATGTCGCCGAAGGAACTCGGACAGCATGTGTGGCAGTAAGCTCCCGCAATGCAGCTCCAGCTTCTTCAGACCCTTGAAGGTATGTTGTTTAGGCAAAGGAGCAATGGTAGGCAGGTCGTGAGATTCGAGCACGAGCTCCTCCAAAGAGGACGGAACCATGGCCAGCGTCTCAGACAGCTCCTTATATCGGATTCCTCTCCCTCTCCGCCGAAACCGGTAAAGGTTTTCGTTGTCGCCTAGAACTAGGTGTAACTTGCGCAGGGCAGTCAAGCCGCACAATGCAGTACTAAATACCTGATAGAATGGCGATGGATCTCGCAGCAGGACACGGATCGGCAGACCCGGCTTCGACATCGGGAGATCATGGGATGCGTCGACGCGAAACGCCTCTACGCGGCATTTTGCCAACGGATGAGAGAACGCTTCCATGACGACTCGTAGTCCGCGCGCCTCTCGTGCTATCATGTTGACTTTCGGCCAAGCGAGATGATGCAAACGTCGATAGTCGTCATCGGGGTCTCTAATCCACGCATCCTCGCCCTTCTTTCTGCGGAGGGAGGGATCACGAGAGTCGGAGACTATTTGGAGCTCATCATGTAGCCAGTCTAACATGAGAATGTCGTCAAAAAGGCATCATTTCGCTCGGACGGGAACGTCCTCCCTTGTCGCCAGTCGCAACGCGGCGGGAAAGGCGGCCGCTGTCGCAGCTCCGCGCCCAGCCTGCGCCAGGCCTTGACAGTCGGGCTTGACGAGTGCTTGCTTTGTGCGCCAGTGGGCGGGTCGTCATCAGCGGTTCGATTGCTCAGTGCGATGCTCTTGAGCGCAGTCATACCGGGGAGGGCGGCATGAAGGGCTGCGATATCCGCCCTCGCGAGGCGGTTCTCGTGATGCGCCTCGCACGTCTCCTTGAACAGCCTGTAGCACTTGCGAAACGAGTCCTCACCCCCCCAACGCGAACCTGTGACAGGCCATGAGTCGCCAAAGTACGGCTGCCACCAGGCCATGGGAACCCGGTCCGGCCATTCAGGCCCACGGCCGTTCTCCTTGGGATACCAGTCCCTGCTCCTCACCTCGGCACAGACGCGGTAAGTCTCCCAGTCGAGACAGGGCAAGCATTGTGTCGTCAATTACCAGTTCGCGCACGTCAGAGAGCAGGACTGGATCAGCAGCGATGTAGTTGAAGGCTTCGAGGTCGAGCGGGTGGCAGGAGATGTAAAGCACTGGGAAGCGCAGCGGGGCTGTGGCAGTGCGAAATCGACGACATGTCGCGGCGAGCGCTTTCAAGGAAGAGCGAGGAGACTCAGCAAAGACATAGCTCAAGAGCTCGGATGGCATGGTCGCAAGACCTACCGTAGCCGACTGTGCCATGATGGGCAGTGGGAACAAGGGTACGAGGTACAGGGAGAGGGAAGAGGATGAAGGACGACGGCAGCCGTATGGAGGAACCGGTAGCTATGGGCATTTCTGGCTTCTCGTGTTCCGTTGGCTATCCGATGGGCCTTCTGAGCCAATGCGTGATTTTACCTCAAATCGCAGCCAAAGGTCAAGTTTGCTACACAAGCTGACCGTCGAATTCGTTTGCTGTCCGAGCTGCTCAAGCCAAAATGAGTGCCCCTTGCGGCCCGGCCCGGCTTTGGCTTCACAGCGCAATCGCGGGAACAGTGAACTCCGGCGATGTGAGCACTTGCGCGGGTACGGGGTAGAGCGCGCTACGATGGCTTTGACCAACACCGATCGCCTGACCAACCCGATAAGCAGAAAACATGGCTGCCTACCAAGTGGAGAGCCAGAAGACTGATTCCATGTCCATTAGAAAGACATATAGGTTTGCACGACGTTTGCGCAGACACTCCAACGAAGCTGAACGCAGCCAGCTACTCAGTGCCAGAGGAAATGGTCACATGGCGGACATTGCTGACGACAAATCCCATCGTAATGTTGAAAGGCAGTCGCCAACATCGCCGGCGCAAACCAGCCAACAACCTCTGATTCAGGCAGACAGCCGATCCAGCAACCAACAACGCAGAAACACTGTGGTGTTCCACATGGAGCAATGTCAGTACGCCTGGCAGGAGCACGGGATGACGGCAAAAGTTGTCCCGGGCAGCACCCTTGCTATGATGAACAAGACATTTCCAAATTGCTCTTAACCATGTCGTCGCGGCACGAAGTCCGAGAATGGTTCAGAGGTCGGCCCAAGCAGGCCTAAATCCGCATCATGAAGTGTCGCCAGAAAGTTCAATTTGGGAGAAGACGAGCGCTACGTTAGATATCTCGTCAAAGAAGCATTTCGCTATCATCTCGGTGTTTATTCCTGTCCAGCGAGCAGTGTTGTCGCTGCTGTGTCATCAAATGAGGAACAGATACGCGGGCGACATTAATATTATATAGACGTCTCTCGGAGCAAGTACTCTTGGAACAGCTTCAAAGGTAGGGCGGGCTTGTATGCAGCAGCACAAGGCTCGGCGCCATGAAACGGCGGCACAACCGGTCAAAAGCTGGCTGCCGCGGCACAGCATTGGTGGTCCGGCATACCTGCCCTTAGCAGCAGGTCGGAGGAATTCGCCTGGTTGTGGACCGTAACCTCTACCATGACGGCCGTGACGACTGAATCCTCCCTCTACGATACCTCTCCGCATACGTCTCCAGCTCCCAGTCCCCCCACTTCTTGGTCTCTGATACCCTCATAATCTCAACCAGCAACGACTGTCGCTCCTTAGACAAAGCACGCATAGCCCTCATCCACTGATCCTCGTCCTTGCGCGTGGACTCCCAACAAGGCGGAACCCTCAGCGTCTTCAGCTTCGGCGCCCAGCCAGGATGCCTTCGCAGAGCGTCGAACGATGAATCGTGAATAGCACCGGCAGCTTTGAGGCCGCTGATCTGATGAAAGTCAGGTGGGGGCAGTTGGAGAGGAACGCGATTAGTGTAGCATCGGTTATTAGCCGGGTGTGGTCTGCCCCTTGCAGCTTGACGACGCGCAGGCTGGGGAACAGGCGCGCGAGTCAGATTGCGGCGTCGTCGGTCAGTTCGTTGGCGTTGTGTGCCGTGTAAGAGACGTCGCTCAGTGTAAACTCAAAGTGTGTCAGCCGAGGGCGAATGTCTGGACCGAGGCCGGACAATTGGTCGACGTGTTGACTTGATGCGCTAGGCGTTAGAATGTATGCGTACATGTAGTCTACGCGGACACTGGGCTTGACGTTGGGAGGCTTACTCGGTCAGGACAAACTCGCAGCCAAAAGATAGCTTCTTCGTCCGGGGTCCTACTCTGCTCTGCCAACTTTCCTCCCATTCCTTGTCCGCTCTGAAATGGACTTCAGTCTCTCCTCTTGAGGAGGCCGTTGGAGCGTTCCAATTCAGCAGGTCAAAGGCATTGATGGGTTCCTTTGGATGGGCTTCAGCCGCAGGCGCAGGCGACTGGGGGATGGCGGTGTCTGCGAGAAGCGGATTCGCGATCGGAGTGGTAGCTGTGGATGCACATGCTTCTGTCGGAAGGGCATGGAGCCACGTCCGGAGGCGCCCCGACGACCCTTTCGTGGAACTGTCCGACTCTCTTCCGTGCTGGCGTTCCTTTTTCGTCCGCGACGAAGACGACTTCGCTGTCCGAATGGGCGGCATCGCGGTGGAAGTTGGATCGGACACTGGCCGGAGACTACAAGTGGCAATATGGACAGGAGGTGTGTCCTGGGGACACGCGTCTTGGCTCGCGATCAGGTGAGTCCGAAAAGTGTTGGGACTTGAGAGGTGGATTCAGTGCCAAGGATTCATGTTCAAAGAACGCGGCTTCATGCAGCCCAGTCTCGCACAACGGGCCGCGGCGTCAACATCAACACTCCCTCGACCGTAGCATGTCGTCCGCCGCTGGTTAACGAACATTGCAAGTCGTACATGTACGGACGAGGTAGGGATGAATAGGGGTCGGCCGCCGGGGAAACCTTATACCGCGACGTGGCCCCCCTGCTCAATAGAATCGTGGGTTCTTTATGAAATTGGCGTCTGCGACTGATCCGAGGCTCATTCAATGCCAAGGTAACAGGCCGGTGTCAACGACAATCATTCAACGCAAACGTATACATCGCCGCGTCAGCGACAGCCGCCATTTGATGCACTGGTCTGGTGATGGTGGGATGCCAAGGTACATCATCGCCAGCACCTTCATGTTCAGTCTTGGTTGATCGCCAAATCGACAAGTGGAGTTTTGTCACGTCTGGCTCGCAAGGCGGGAGAATGCTGGCGGGCTTTCTCAGGGGTCCAATGCCAACAGTGGATGATGAAGACTTTTTCGTGGTACATGAGATCCGTACCTGGCACCGTTGACGGACGCTGCCCCGTTCATGTCGCTGATGTAGCACGGACTCACCGGCGGCACGCGACAATCAGCCCAACTTGCCTGGCGTTGGTCGCGAGCAACATGAACGAGGTGTCAACGAAGTCAGCGCGAGACGATCCGTCGGAGCAGCCAAGCGACCCGGCCAGATCTTGATCACGGACAGTGATAGTTCGTACTACGTCGTCATGAGAGCAAAGGCGAACCCGAGAGTTGCGGAAATACCAGATGTCGAAGACGCTGGGAAGGACATGCAGAGCTTGTTGTAATTTTGAGACAGGAGGGACGAATGGGTAAATTGGGGGGAACGCAGTGGCTGTGTAATCGCTGAGAACGAACCAAGCGTACCCGGGCACAATCTCAGATGTTGAGATTGAACGCGTTCGTGACTGGAAGTCGTCTCAGACGAGTATTAGGGCCATGGCTGACCGAAGCCTCAACTCACCCGACAGAAGTCAGCGTGGTCAGCCCACCACATCCCGGTAACAGCCCGTCAGGGCTGCATGTGCCTCGGTGTGGCGGCATATATGCGTACGCGTAAAGACGAAAGGTAACACGCCAAAGTCAATTGCCGACAGCAAACCCATGGGGCAAAGAGCCAGCCAGAACATCGAGGAAGCAGGTTTCGCCATGGTCAAATATTCAAGCTGATGTCACACTTCGCCACCCGCGCCTCAACATCAAATGAACTGGCCCGGACGTTGACCTCCGGGGCTCACGGCCCCGCCCGCGGATCCTCTCCGCAAGGGGCCGCCGCCGCCTCTTACGACCTCGCCCTCGGCTCTAACGCCACGCCCCCCCAAGACTTCGATGACCACAGGGCGCGATTCCCATGGCACGCGGCGAAATGCCCATCCACAATTTGCACAGCGACTGGATGGACTTGGCGCGGTCGCACGCCTCCTGCAGCGCCCGCCATTGGGCACTCAAGGTCCCCTGGCGTCGGCGTAGGGGCTCTTCAGTCTTCACCCCCTCCTTGGCTCCTCCTTCTTTCTCTCCACATGCCCGCCGGCGCCCACAAGCAACTCGGCTCTCAGGCTTTCCTTCTTGGTTTGGTTTGGCATGGATTGACTGAGGCGAGTGAGAGACGAGAGACAGGCGGCACTAGTCAGTGGCCTTTCTCCGCCTGACCCTTTCCCACGCTTCTGTTTTTCGCCCCCCCGCCCCGGATGGAGGGCCGTTCGCCTCCGTGACTGTGGCCCTGCTGGTCCCCTTCTCGATCGCCGGGCCCTGCTCGACGTCCCGAACATCGTAGACGCCGCATCATCGCCAGTCGGAACCGCCCAACCACCGAACCGGCCGGATCGTGAAGCGATTCCATACCGAAAGAGACCCGGTCGCGCCCCTACAACACTCTTACGCGGAGAGAGTGCCGCAGAGGAGGAAAACCTCAAGAGAATGAAGGCGCCCGCTGCGGCGGAGGGACAAACGGCGGTCAACATCCACGACTTTGCTGCTGCTGCGTCGCCGGCTAGGGGCAGCGCCGCTGCGGCGGCGGGCCCTCCGGCGTCTCTCGGCAGGGCACGCATCGTCCCAACCGCTATGAACACGAACACCACGAACACCACGACAGCCTCGAACATCACATCGCCGGGGAGCAGGCACGCCTCGAGCAAACCCCGCGGCGGGGCGTCGACGACTTCGTCAGGAGGCGTCGCTGCCACTATCAGCACCACCTCCCCCATCAGCAAGGCATCACGCGAAAGCAGAGCCTCCCGCGAGAGCGGCAGCAAGGCCTCCCGGAAGAGCGGCGGCGGACACAGAGGCAGCAAGGCCGGCAGCCGCGGCAGCAGGGGCAGCAAAAACTCCAGCAAGGGCTCCTCCAGCGGCAAACCCGGCGGCCGCTCCTCCTCCAAATCAGCGTCAACACCGCGCGTCATCCTCGGCCGCGGCGCCCTCGCCCGTCTGCCCTCCGAGCTCGCCCGCCTAGGCATCTGCGCACCTCTGATCGTCTCCTCGCCCTCGCGCGTCGCCCTCGCGCGGCGCATCCAGACGACGCTCCTCCCCGCGCTCGACAGCCGCATCCTCGACTCCGCCGTGGTCAGCGTCCCCGCGCGCGTCGTCGACCGCGCCCTCGACCGGGGAGTGCAGGGCCGCGACGCCGTCGTCAGCGTGGGTGGCGCGTCGGCCGTCGGTCTGGCTGCCGCGATTGCCCTGCGCAGGGGGCTCCCGCACGTGTGCGTGCCGACGACGTACAGCGGCAGCGAGATGATGCCGCTGCTGTGCGATGCGAGCCCCGCGCGGCATAACATCCTCGATGCGCATGCCGGCTCGCCGTTTTCGCCGCTGATTGCCACGTCGTCGGTGGCGGCGGTGGCCATGGCTGCTGCGGCTGCGAGCGGCGGGGATGACGACCACCCGTTTCATCCGCATCACCTGCTACAGGCGCAGCAGCAGCAGCAGACGAAGGGATCGAGGAGGAGGAGCTCAGGCGGAGGAGGCAGCGGCGGCGGTGCAACGACGAGCATCCGGGACCCGCGGGTCGTGCCCACGCTCGTCATCTACGACGAGGAATTGACGGGCAGCGGTACCCCTGAGCGCTTCTCCGCGCCGTCGGGCATCGCAGCGCGGGCCCGCGTCGATGCCTTTGCCGATGCGCACAGGAGCAGCGGCGACGACGACGAGACGGCCGAGTGGAGCTACCTGCACCTGCCGGGTGTCTAAGGGGATCCAGGTGCGGCAGATATGTTTGATGACACAGCTGGACTATGATGAATCATCTCCGACGACGCCGGTCGATGGCGAGGTTTAAGCCACACTCGACTGGGGACGGGAGATGGACACGCATGGGTGGGATCCAGGCAGGCCAGGCCAGCCATCCTTCTCCTTGAGTCAGTTCGCCGTACACGAAGCCCGAAACGACAACACAGACACTCAACCCTCCTCACGTCCCATGCCCTCCAAGAACCACATGGAGACGGGAACTCCCTGCTGTCAACCACGCAGTCAGTGGCGTGGCAATTCCAAGGGAATGGAAACAAAGAATGACAATTCTACACTCAGCCTCCTTTTAGGCATGCGGCGAAGCGGAGACACGGAACCCGGTGAAAATACGGCGTATAAGCGCCAGAGCGAGGCCTTGTAAGAGGTAGCTCCCGGGCACGAATGTTTCCCACGCAACAAAGATTATGAAGTAAGGGGGAGATATCAAGGCGCGGACGGTAATTGCCGCGGGGGAGTCCCGGGGAAAGGGGGGGAAACGTCCTTTGGCTGAGCCACAGGACTCGGGACATGGATGGTGAATGATGACCCCCGGTTCGAGGCTAGGGGCCAGCATAATACACGACGAAAGCAAATGCAGACTGGCAAACACGACGATGCTCAGCACGGAGTTTAGGAGGGTTCAGTAGCAAAGACATGCCCAGAGATACCATCGATATATACATGCCAAGATTGTATTGAACAAAAGAATCGGTCCCAAGGACCTGACGCTTGCTTTTTCTGTTTTGTCTATGCCGTTGAAGCCCGTCTACTATACAAGAAGAATTTGACTGCGCCTTGTTTTTGTGAAGAGAAAGGCTTCAGTCCATGCCCTCGAAGCCCAGGACGCCGTGCGCGCCCATGGGTCCCAGCTTGCTGCTCTGCGCTTCCTTGCGGCGCTTGGCGCGGCGCTTCATCTCTGCCACGCCGTCTTCCTCGTCGCTGTCATCGTCGTCATCGTCGCCATCGCTGTCCGCCGCGCGCTTGGCCGAGTTCCTGCCCGCGTCGTCGTCCTCATCGTCCTCATCGTCTTCATCCTCCTCCTCATCGTTTCCACCCTGCAGCTCCGACAGCTCCTCCCACACCTTGACGGTGCGGCCGCCCGCGCTGATGAGACGGTTCGCCGAGTCAAACTCCAGGGACACGACGCCCTCCATGTCGTCGTGGCGTAGGTTAGCCGAGACGTTCACCTCGCGGCGCACCAGGTCGACGACGCGCAGGCTGCCGTCGCCCATGCCGCACACCACCTTTTTGCCCAGCCCCATCTCCTGCGGAACGCGGACGATGGCGTCGATGCTCTCGCCGCCTGCCGCGGCGGCGCCCTTCCTGCCCTTCATGCCGCCGAGGCCGCCGTCGACGATGATGCGCTCCTGCTGGTCGTCCCAGGCGCCCTTGTCCCACAGCGTCAGCACGCCGGAGCCGGAGCCCACGGCGACGACGCCGTTGTTGCGGTTCTTCTTGGGGCCCATGCCGGGCATGAAGCAGGAGCTCAGCAGCTCGTCCTCCTGGTCCTCGCTGCGGACGAGCACGCCACGGCGCACGTCGGTGACGGCGAGCGTGGTGCCACCCGTGCTGACCCACTGCTTGGGGAAGCCGCTGGTGCTCTCCTCCGAGGGCGGCAGCGGCGTGACGCTCGACACGTAGTCGGCGTGCGGGAAGTGCGTCTGCGCGGGGCGCCGCGACTTGGGCCCGCCGTCGGCGTCGCGCAGGTCGAAGATGTGCAGCGCGCCCGAGTCCGTCGCCAGCAGCAGCGCCTGCGGGTTGAGCACGTGCAGCAGCGTCGGCGCGTCGGGCACCGTCGTCGTGCTGGAGATGGCCAGCTTGGAGGCGACCTGGCCCGTCAGGGGGTCGAACTGCTTGACGACGGCGTCGGTGCCGGCCGAGTAGAGGGCTTCACATTGGCGTCCACCGTTAGCCGACTATCTTTCGCAAGCAGTCCCGAGTCACTCACACCGCCCGTCATGCCCGTAGGCAAGGCATCGACAGCTGCCCTTGTGCCTCCTCGTCTTCCATACCGTATCGATGGATCCTCTCCCGTCACTGAGGACGCTCGTGTCGGCGTCGGCATCGTCGTCGCCTTCATCGGCGGACCCACTCGGCGGCAGGCGAAAGGTCTCAACGTGGCCGCTGGCGAGGCCGACGGTCAGGAGCGGCTCTGTCGGGTGCAGCGCCGTCGCGAAGACGTCCGCCTGCAGCGGCAGCGTGCAGAGATTCTCGAACATGGCGGGCAGCGCGCCGCGGGAAGGACTTTCTTTGTCGGTTGTGGGTGGCCACGGATCGTTTTCGCGCGTCTCGGATGCAGTCGGCCACGTCAGTCAAGCTTCATGGCGCCAATTGGGTGGTCGGTAGAGCTGGCGGTCGAGTTGGAAATTTTGAGGCATCACACAGAAGCCGCTGGGGATTGATCCGACGTCAGGATTGAACACAGTGTCTGCAAGCCTCGCACTGTCTCGCACTGTATGCCTACCCTACAGGTGCCAAAACTTTCGAGATCAAGCTCACTCGCGCCATTGCCATCTCCAAGCCTGTGTATAGCTAGTAAATTTCGTGCGCAGGATCCATCTGCTGGACCCGCAGGTGAAGTAAGGCTGACAGAAAAGAGGCTCAATGATCAGTCTACGTAGCGATCGGCCGTGCTACCAGGTCATGTTGGCTGGACCAGCCAGCAACATCTCGGAGGCAAGACGAAAAGCCGCAACGACACCAGCTGTGGTGGCTAACAGAAGAGGATCAGTCTCGAGATAACTTCTCTCGTCGATATAAGGCCAAGGCATCCTAATCGGCGTGCACAAAGCCAAGGAGAGCCAACTTGGTAGGATCGGGTGGGGGAAGATTCCATGTCAAAGTTCACATTCGTCGGGTAGGCCTGATGGCCACATGAAGGGGGGAGGTGTCGGCCAGGGCTGGTCAGCAGTGAAGACGAATACACCCTCTTATTCTCTACCATTGACCCTCTTTGTGGGCAAGGTTTACGGATAAAATCGTCGGATACCATGCCAGAGGTGTGTAGTCGATGGGCGTCACTCCTTGTCTGCCAATGAAGTTCTAACGTGGTCGGAGATGTTGAATAGAGATTGAGCTATTTCAGTGTGCCTTCCAGTCTCGCATGCATCCCAATCTATGCGATGTAGCATCGCGTCCACCCGAGATAGGCGTTGATATTCTGTTAGAATTACGGAGATCCTTGCTGACGACTGTATCGAGTGTTCATGTTGCTCATTCACACCCCGCTACGGGTTCTTCAAAGGCGGACCAAACGCTCCACGGGCCACATACAGCATGAGTGGAGTCAATTTGGATACGTACATTTACCATTTCCCTGTCAAGCCACAGCCGTACTAGCAAAGACTACGCCCTCTCTACTTCGTGGTGTCATCGTCTTTGACAAGGGTTACACCCTGCATGATTCGTATACAGCTGGAGCTTGGCTGCAAGAGCCAAGATGTCACCTCAACGTGGTATTTATTGACAACCGTGATGAAACCAACATGCTCAACGGTCTGTTGGAACGAGTCGCCGTTGGTGCGACACCGCCGGGTCACCAAATCACATGAATGCCGCGATTAGTCGGAGTGTTACGGGGCTCCATTACCTCCCGTCCAGTCCAGTCTTCAGCTGAGAGCAAGGCCAAGCCTCAACTGCGAGCCGGCCAGAAACAGCAAGACCACGCGCCCAAGCCGCCGCCGTCAACGAAGTGCGGGCCAGAAATAGCCAGTCCAGTCCATCGCTCGCTCCACGAGTCCAGAGCGCATCCCGTAGCAACCCAACTCGCCTCCCGCTCGGTCGCCAAGCCTGGCACCGATTCAACCCAAGCGGCTCGTGTCACCGATATATACACCGCTCCTGCAGCCACCGCTCGCGCATTAAATGAGCAATACGGCAGTCATCGTCGTCGCTCGCACCCTAGTGGTTCGTGCCTGTACGGCGGCTGGCTGTTTGTTCCTGCGGTGCGGCTGAGCCTGGCCTCAATGCTCCCCCTCAGCCCTACAGCACCAACAAAGAAGCAAGCGTGCCCAGTGAACAAATAGTTTGCGCACCGATCGGGAAAAGCTGGCCATGGCAAGGCGCCCGCACAGTGGGGGAGCTGAGTGCCATGCGAGTCCCGACTCCCGAGTCCCCGACCAGCCCCGGTAGATCTGGTCCCCGGGACGGCACCTCGTACAGGAAAAGCCCACCACCCCTGGCTCGGCCCTGGCCTGGGCCGTCCGCCTCCCTCGGGCCTCGACGCCAACCCGCCGGATCTCGCTGCGTGTGCCGGCAGTGGCTGAGCCTGAGCCTCAGGGGGACCCAGGCACATCGTGAGCGGCCTCGTCCGGAGGCGGCGGTTAGTCGGACGCCTCATTCAATACTCTGCGTTGTCGTGGCGAGACTACGTGCTGCCCGACCCGGCTGCCAGCTCAGCCGCAGAGCAAACACTGACCGCAACGATGAAGCTGCAATCGTGTGTTTGGTTGTACAGAACAAGTGACGTCTGGTGCATGCGACCGCCAGGAAAAAGGGACTAGGTCTAGCACGTAAACGATATAAAGAGAGAGTGATGACCTCGTGAATCCATTTCTCTGCTCTCAGATCAAACCAGACAGCCTCGCCTGCATCCTCACCACCTCCAAAGCCCCAACTACCTTCCTTGAACGCCCTCTTCTACCAGACACAATGCAGGCCAAGCTCCTCGCCCTCCTCGCGGCCCATGCCGCCGCCATTGCGGTCCCCTCGGAACCGGACGTGACCATCGACTACAAGCAGGGCCTGGCCATACCGCGCGACATCGCCCGGCTCGTCAAGGAGCGCGACGTCTGCAACGCCGACAACTGCCTGCGCAACCTTCGCGACAAGCGATACAGTTCCTCGGCCAGCGCCTTTTGCTCCACCTTTATCCAGTCCACCGTCGTCAACACGCAGTACGCCATCGCCACGGACCACAAGACCAACACGGAGACGCCGCCTCCCGTGACTGTCACCAATGTCATCGTCGAGTATGACCGCCCACCCTCCCTGCCCCTTTGTGCGCGCTGCACTACTTGTACACAAGAATGCTCATGTTGTCCCTCCAGTGACCTTCTCAACCCCACGGCCACGGAGATCGTGACCCAGTACAGCACGATTCCCGACCCTCGCTACAAGCGCGGTGCCCAGCCGTACCCTACCTGGCTCTCTGCCTCGTACCCCCCCGAGCGCGTCAGCAGCGCGTGCTCGTGCTTCATCCCCAGCCCGTCGCCCGCCATCCAGCAGACGGTCACCCTGACCACCTCGACCGAGACCGTCGTCGCCGTTGTAAGTGATCACAACTCTTCCTCACAGCACTGACTAGAGATCCTTGCTGACTGCTGCGGCCAGGAAACTCTGCCTCCCGTCACCAACACCGTCGACGTCACCTCCACCCACACCATCGACGTCGTCGCCACCCAGACGGCCACCGTCGGTGTCACCTGCGGCATCAAGGGCTGCGTCTGGGGCAACGACCTTCTCCTCCAGAGCACCGGCAGCCTGCCCAACATTGCCGCCTGCAAGGCCCTCTGCACATCCAACGCGCAGTGCCAGTCCTTCCAGTGGAGCGAGCAGTACAAGTACTGCAACATCGGCAAGGCTCCCGCCACCCAATTCTGGGCCACACCCAGCTGCAGCGAGTTCAAGGTCTACGACGTGGCCTGCTCCATCTAAGCTGTGGACTACCACACGGCGTCGTACGCCTGGAAAGGGACGCCGGCTTCTTGCACTCAGACTTCAAATAGTATCGAACTAGTTAGATATTTCGCGGTGGTGTTGGCGAAAGTCGTGCCGAGTATAAATGGCACGACGAAAATGTACTTAGAAAGCGACAAATAAACCTCGGCGAGTCATAGAATTGACTGTCAGACGTGACCCATACCTGTTAGGGGACTGGATCTCTGTGAACCCGCCAACCGACGCCCGTGGTGCTCAACGGATATATAAAGTAGTAGGAAGCCCATACAACATGAAGCCCGCTATTGCACGTGCAACTGGGAAGAGACACATTCGGAGCGAATTGCCAGCGGTGCTCCTTACTTCGTACGTGTAGAGACCATGTGTCATGAGTTGACAGAGGGCCGACTGGAAATAAATTTGACTTCTGTTCCTGATTGTATTGTAGCACGACGCCCTGCGTATGTCACTCCTATCTGGTCAACGGAGAGTTACACCACCTGTGCCACCCAGGATAGAAGAGACGCTTTTCCATGCAGCAATTGAAGTCAGCGGCAGAAACTGAAGACATATATATGATCAAGACGCTTAAATGCACAAGATCGCAATGCGGGGTGTTCGCAGCAGGCTTGTCCAGTCAAAAGTGGCTCGTAGTCTCCATAAACATACTGCCCCTGGCCGTGACGGCCTCGATTTGGCCTACCATGCCTGGGATGGACACAGCGTCGCCGTGGCTTCTTTCACTTGCTGGTTGTTGTAGTCCAGATTGGTCAGCCGAGAAGTAGTCGCGGAATTGGATTCCATGGCTCTGCTCGGGAATAGTCTAGTGGCTGGGGAGGACCAGACGAAAAGCATGGTGAACGAGCCTGTGCCAAGTGTTGCCCAGTGCTATAAATGCGAGCACTACTTGTACGCTTGTTGGACTTCGGCAGATAATCTCATCCGCGGCAGTGGTGGAGCTTTCTATCTGAGTACATGACCATGGCTGGAGTTCCCGGAACAGTGTTGCCTTTGATGACGAGATGCCAAAAGACGTACTCGTCGGAATAGGCAGGGCTGTCCACGATAGGTTGAGCAAGTTCATGTTCTGGCCTGTGCATATATATCCCTAGATCGCAGGTTGGCTGTCCCAGGTTATCTCTGTAGGGATTCAGGTTTTCTGCCACATAGCGGCACCTCCAAGCAGTTCCCCCCCAGGCAACTGATCACGGCTATGAAAGGTATGCTCCCCTGCTGGTCGCGTCTTCACTTTCTCGAAGAATGGAGCTGGATCACCAAGTCGTGCGTAGGTGAGACCAACGGTAAGCCTTTCGGCTACGCAACAACCGGATCATGGAGGCTTCTGGGCCTCAGCCGCGCGGAGGACCAGGAAGGGTCGGGTGCTGGGTGCAAACAATTCTTGAGGAGCAACCTGAGCGCGGGGTGGCGGGGTGTTCTGGCATTTGAACAACCTTGGCAGTCACTTGCGTTACCCTGCCGATAACAATGTATCTGAACATTGGGCTCGTGGCAGGTCGCGGGCAGCATGCGGCCCATTGTGGCATCCAGCGCAGCGCTGCGGCGTGGGAGGAGGCGCGTATTCTGGCCATGGCCTGATGCAATATTAAAGTGGTGAGACTTGGAACACAGAGAGGAAAGCCCTGGCCTGGACGTAGACAGGAGGCATCTCTGTGGCGATGCGTAAGTGCAGGTACGCGATCAATGGACTGGTCCTCGCGCCCACGGCTTTCGCTGGCTTGTAGTGGCCGCGGAGCTCCAAACTTCAACGACGGCAAACATGAACCCTTGCACTTTCACACATCTCGTCGAATTATCCATCATCCCCTTCCACAACACAGTCTTGAAAGAGTTGCTAAAATGTCTTCTGCACGGGGGCGAGCTCGCCAAGTAATAGTAAGCGCGTAGCGTAGGAGCACACCCTTGACGCAGGGTACGGTTTCCGCAAGTAAAGTAGTGGTGAATGCGCGCGCGTGCTCAGATGTTCAGGGGCAGCAACCCCTTTTGGTCTGAAGAGGGATTGTCGCGACGTACAAATGCTACTGCACGCGACACGGCAAGACACTCACTCACAGACGGTCTGTGCTCGCGATCGCACCCCGCGTTTGTTGGGCGTTGATGAGAAACCGGCAACGCGTTGACGACATGCCAACCGCTGCGGGAGCCGAGACGCGCGGCTCCTCGGGCACATCACAATGCCGCCGCCCACCCGCGTCCACTCGCGCGGAGCCCAGCTCCAGCCCCAGCCAACACCCATTCGCAGATTCCACACCCACGCACTTCCCGCGAGGGCAGGGCCACCACTCAGGTCGCGCGCCTCTCGTTAGTGGCTGCATCGGCGCTGCCCATCCCTGCCGCAAAGCGCCACTTGAAACTTCGCGGTGGGACCCGCTGTGGACGGGATCGTTGCCGGCAACCGGCTTGGCCGACGTTTGCGTCGTTTGGAGCCAGGCTGGCCGCCTGCTGCCATGCCAGGGGGCCTTCTTCCTTCATGGTAAAGAGTAAGCATAACGGCGGGTGAGGGCGTTGGGCTGCGTGGCGCTGCCCTGTTGTCACTCTTATTTGGCTTTGAGTTGTTAACACCATCCGAGGCACCCGGCGGCTCGGAACAGCTGTCCTGACTCCTGGCACAACTGGCTGGCAAGGAGGCTGATGGCGGTTTTGCCCTGGCGAGCCGGCCGAGAGCCTGTGGCCCCCCGTCTCTCGTCTGGTGCCTGGCGGCGACCCGTTTGGCGCAGGCTTAGATTCCGATCGCCAAGGAACGCCCAGGAGGCCCTCCGCCCGCTCGTCCCTGGGGCACCTCTCGCTCGCTCCCGCTGTGTTCGCGCGTGCCGCGCCCGCAGGCCGCCAGATGCATTCCAATTCCAAGATGGGCGACGACCGGCCGCCTTGACCCCTGGCTCGCGCAGCCTGGCATTGGGAGCAGCGCCGTTCCGGCCCCCCAGACTTTGGCCTGCAGAGGGAAGAGCCTAAGGATCGTGGCGGAGCAAGCTTGCAATTTCACCTTATTCCCGATGTCCGATGGGCGCTGGCCCAAGGTCTTTTGGCATGTTGCCACGTTCTCGTCGCTCTGACCGGTGCGGCCAGCGAGCACGCGACCCGGTCGCCATTGTTGATGCTTCTCTGGATTGAACGCGGCCGTCTGGTCAAGCCACCCGCGACGAGGCCCCATTTTCCCTCGCCCGGACTGGAAGCCATGTCTTTGCGAGCGTCTTTTGAGTTGTCGGCCGTGAGCAGCATGCAAAGAGAACGGCGCCCCCCCACCCATCGTCTCTGCGGCGCTGCTCCCCCCATCACCCGCCCCTGGTGGCCAAAAAGACTGGAGAAGCAAACAACTTGGTGTAGCGCTAGCCTTCGACCGTCCTGTCAGATGTTTTGAGAATACGAAGGGATCTGCTTCGGGCTTTTCCCACATCGCTCGCAGGCCAACCAGCGACGCCTCCCGTGGAGAACATCTCACCTGCCCTTGCGGCACCATATGTCATACGAGTGAGCACTCGCTGGGCCGCCCCCCGTTTCCCACGTTCCAAGCAATTCGCTCCATCTGGCTCCCGGCTTGGCCCTCCGCAGAGGCGTCCGCAACTTCGTACATTCAACTACAGTACCTCCACGCCCGTTAAAGTGCTTGGCTTTTGAGACTGCGCGCGCAAACCTGCACCAACGCACGGTCTGTCGCGTATATCGCTGCTGTCTTTTGTCGCTCGTTTGCTCCCCCTGACTGCGATGTGTGCTCGACGCACCTGGCAGTCACGATTATCGCCATGATGCACTCGCTATCCACATTGACGCTGCTGTCGGCTGCTGGCCTGGCCTCGGCGGCGTCCGTCTTTTCACTCGACAACGATGGTGCGCCCCCGATTCCCCCGAGGGCAACGCCCGACAACACGTGTTGGCATATGGATCGGACAAATGCGACTAACTGACCGCCCACAGCCGCGATTCGAAAGTCGGCCGGCCAACTGGCCTGGGACATGCTACAGTACTATCACGGCAACGAATCCGGAGGCACGCCCGGCATCCTCCCCGGGCCGCCGCCCGCAGGCGACTACTACTGGTGGGAGGGCGGCGCAATGTGGGGGACCTTGATCGACTATTGGGCCTGGACGGGAGACTCGTCGTACAATGATGAGATTATTCAGGCGATGCAGTTCCAGATCGGCGAGGGGCAGGACTACATGCCGCGCAACGTCACCGCGTCGCTCGGAAACGACGACCAGGCGTTCTGGGGCATGGCCGCCATGTCGGCGGCGGAGAACAAGTTTCCGGATCCCCCGTCCGATCGGCCAGGATGGTTGGGCCTGGCGCAGGCCGTCTTCAACACACAGGCGAGCCCGGACCGACACGACGACACGTGCGGCGGTGGACTGCGATGGCAGATTCCCTTTTCCAACAACGGCTACGGCTACAAGAACAGTGAGTACTTTCCGAAGCTGAGGACCTGGAGATGAGGAGCATGTGGTCGGAGGAAGAGCAAGAGAGACATATGCAGAATTCAGAGAGGAAAGGGAGCGCAGAACGCTGACCAGAGCAGGCATCGCCAATGGATGCTTTTTCAACATGGGCGCCCGCCTGTATCGATACACGGATAACGAAACCTACTCGAAATGGGCGGACACGACTTGGGACTGGGTAGAGAAGATCGGACTTATCGACGCCAAGACGTATGCGATTTACGACGGAGGAAACGTCGAGCACGACTGCAAGGACATCAACAAGGTCCAGTACTCGTACAACAACGCCATATTCGCCCAGGGCGCGGCGTTCATGTACAACCACGTACGTCCTGTGCCCGATACTGAGAGACAGCCCGTCCTTGTTTCTAAAATGCTAACGCTGTCGCAGACCGAAGACCAAAAGTGGAAGGACCGCCTCGACAAGCTCATCACCTACGGCCTCGAGACGTTCTTCCCCAAGGACATCGCGACGGAAATCTCATGCGAGCCAGGCAACGGATGCAAGACGGACATGTTCACGTACAAGGGCTTCGTGCACCGGTGGTACGCGCAAATCACGCAGCTGGCGCCCTTCACGGCGGAGCGCATCCTCCCCGTGCTCAAGACGTCCGCCGCGGCAGCCGTGTCGCAGTGCACGGGGGGCGACACGGGGCGCGCATGCGGGCTGCACTGGGGCGACCACAAGTACGACGGGAAGACGGGCGCGGGCCAGCAGATGAGCGCGCTCGCCGCCGTGCAGAGCCTGCTCATCGGGCACGCGAAGCCGCCCACCACGAGCAAGACGGGCGGCACGAGCAAGGGCAACCCCGGCGGCGGTAGCGGCGACGGCAAGATCGAGAAGGAGGCAAAGCCCGTGACCACGGGAGACAAGGTCGGCGCAAGCATTGCGACGATTTTGCTGCTGGGCCTGGCGTGTGGCATGTTTGGCTGGATGAGCATCGAGCTGGATGGGTCCACCTAGACGAGGATGATGGCTGGGTATTATGCGTACGGCGTTATGCGTGTCTGTGTTTGGAAGCAGCTATGTCTTGTAACATGTGTTTTGATAACATGAACGACTGGAAAGTTCAGTACAAGGAACGTTCCAACCGCTGTGATGTTTGACCCCTGAGTGCGGTGATTTTGTCCACGTAGGTACAGACGGTGTGTGAACATCATGCCTGGCGTATGAGGGAGTACTTCGCGGCCTGATGTGATAAAAGGTTTCCCCTTGGAACGCCACGGGTCTTTGGCTCTTCTTGGGGTTCTGTTGCGTCTGTCTATGCCCATGTCCTGCATCGGCACCCCCCATCAAGTGGCCAGGGATTATAATCTACACCAACTCCTCGATGACCGGCATCACAGGGTCCAGCCCGACCTGCTTCCTCGCCCACGCGATACCCTCACGCACATCCTCCAGCGCGAACACCGGCGACCGCAATAACTCCCCGGACGCCGCCTCGACCACGTCCCGCCCCGTATGGCCGGCCGCCCACCACAGCCACGAATCCGCCGCGCACTCATTCAGTAGCACGCCCCAGTACATGAGCACAAACATGGCGACGGGCTCGCGCGTCCGCAGCCCCTCGATGACTTCCGGCCCGCACATGCACGGCACGCTGATGAGGAAGCCCTTTATGCGGCCCACGGCGTTCTCCGCAAAGGCGTACTTGGTCTGTCCGACGGCGATGCGGTACGACCACACGTCGTACGTCAATGGGCCTTGCTGCCCGTCCTCCGAGTCTTGCGCCGGGTCTCCCGTCGGTGGCAGCCGCACGAGCCGGTTCACGGTCGAGAGACGGTTGATGGCTGTCTTCGTTTGAGGGTCTATCAGCTCCATGAACTCGAGTCGTGGGTAATAGTCCTCTGCGGCTATGCGTGCGGACGTCGGGCTATCAAAGAACCACTGCCAGTTGAGGGCTGCTGTCTGCGCGCACCCGACGAACATGACGAATGAGGCGTGGACGCGGTCCAGTATGCTCGTCTGCTCCGACCTTTCACCGCCACCGCCATCGTCATCCCATATAATGAGGTTGAAGTACCCCGCCATGCAGCCAAAAGTCGCGAGAAGGTATAGTGTGTCGCGCGTGATGGTCTGCATGTTCAACGCAACGCGAAACTCGGCACTCGCCTTATTGCAGTATTCGAGAGCCGCGCGCCGATATCGTCGCGCGGTTGCGCGATCCCCCGGCGGCGCCTGCAACGAGGCATCGACCGCCGCCAGGGCCAAGATGCCATCGAGGATGAACGCGTGCCGCAGGCCCTGGCGCGGCAGATCTTCCTGCAGAAAAGACTGGCAGGTGGGCAGGCTGTACATGCCCTGCCACGTGCGGACGGACCAGCGGTGCATGAGCTCGAGCTCAAGCAGGCGGTTGGAGGACTCGGAGGTGGAGAGGGACAGCGGCGAGACGGTCGCGGGTGCGGGAGGGCGGCGCACAGGGCTGAGACTGTTGGAGGACGCGGAGTTGGAGTTGGAGTTGGAGTTGTAGGACTCGATGACCCAGGTGGGCGACTGGTCGCGCTTCGGCGTGGGGAGGTAGATGCACTCGACTTCGCGGATTGCGCAGTTGGCGCAAGGAGGGCCTTGCTCGTCGCACTACAGGCAAGACGTCATGAGCCATGTTTCTCGCGACATCCCGTCGCAGCAACCCATGATGTTGGAGTTAAAGGACCCGCGGCATCTGCGGGCGGAAAATACGATGTATGGCAACGTACCTTGACGTGCCGGGCCTTGCATGCTGTGCACCCACGTCTTGACTTTCTGTGCGCCCCTCGCCGCGGCTTCTGCATCTTGGGCGCCCGAGGCCGAGACCTGCTTGGCCCCGCGTCTAGTCGTGGGAGAGGGCAATCGCGAGTTGAGTATGTAATGATGCGGCGAAACACCAGCTGCGCGCAACGCAAGACGAAGAAGCAGTGAGGCTATATCGAAGGGGGATCGTGAAGCAAAATGAAAACTGGCCGGCCGAGACAAGAGAAAATAAAGAGTTGACACCGCGTGGTGGGAAACGTCGTTGTCGTTCACAAGCTGACAAAATGCCAGTCGCCTGGTGGCGTCCTGTTCCTGAATTGGCACATGAACCGGCAAGCTTGATGAGTGATGACAACATAAGCTTCATTCAGCCCCGTCTTGGCGGCGGCGCCGTTGCGTCCGCCCTGTGGCCCCGTCCGGGGATGGCTGTGCTGACGACCCAAGCCATCGCCACAGTTGTGCCAGCGAATGGCGTGGCGGAACGCGCTGAACTGATCAGCATTGGCATCCCCAGCTTGGCGACGAGCATCCAGGCAGCAAACAACCCTGGGCCTGGAGGGGTAGTGGGGTCGGCCTCTCCGTGAAGTCCTTGTGCGGTCCCCTTGACTTGCCGCCGAATCTGCTTTTGAATGCACGATTTACTAAGATTCGAGATTGTGAATCTACGGTGCGATAGTCGAGCATTATGCATCATGCTTTGTAACATGTTATAGCCCCGAACTTCACGACCGTGTTCTGGCGGTCCTGAAGGCTGACTGGCACCGACTCTACCGAGACTTCCTTTTGTTTGGAACCGCTTTGTGTATTGTGCGGCAACTTCAATGTTGTTTTTGCATTTTGTATTCTATTGCATCAGATCCATACTGGCCAGCAGCAACGTCTGCACATAGGCCGCCAATTGGACCTGCGCCGTCATCAACCGCTGCACTAAAAACCGGTGATGCGCCACGATAATCCTCTTGCTCATGACCTGCGCGAGCGACTCCAGACGCCGAGCCAAGTCCAGCGCTGCAGTGCACATGACGCGCCGCCATTCTACCTGCAAGTTGCTTTTGTGATTGCTCACGAACAAGGCTGTCTCTTGTGACAGACCAGGCAGGGGACTCGCCGCCGCAACGGCAGCGCTCATCACGATGGGGAAGACGAGCCGCAGCGCCTTGACTAGGCGAAGTATAAGCAGCGCCAGCACGGTCATCGCGTCGACCCTCGTTGCGCATGCCGTGCAATCTGTCGTTGATTGGACTTGACCGAGGGCTTCTCTAAGCGCTGTGAAGATGGTCTCGACTGTTGCGGGTGTTGGTGTAGATGGTGCTGCGTGGGCACCTTGATCCCCTTGGCTGGCAGACGTGGGTTCAAACTCGTCGAGTAGAAGCACAAGACGTTCAAGACAGCTACACTGCTCAAATGTGCGATTGCGCTCCGCGGAGGAGTATTTGTAAATAGGGCTGTCCACTCCCGAGAAGTTGGGCTTGAACAACCCATCATCATGCCATGACGAGTCGGTCAATGCCGGGGACGAATGTATGTCGGACGCGATAGGCAGTTGATCAGGGTACTGTAGACATCCTCCGCGAGGTGCCGAGAAGCATGACCGTGCGTCGGCGACAGAGTCGTTGCTCGAGGATGCGCTCGAAGGTGTGTATGCTGCATCCGTGCTTATATCAGAAAGCGACAGTGGAAGGTGGTCGAGGTTAACGGGCGTTTCGTTTGGCGGCAATGGAACGGCAAACTCTTCCTGGCCAACGCCCATCATCGATGACCAGCCCTCCATTGCCGATATCGCCAGGCATTCCGGAGAGAATCCTTGCTCCATCCAGCTGTAGGATGCGTTTGTTGCTGTGTCGTTGCCTTCGTTCTCGTGATCGTTGTCGTGTTCGTTGTCTTGTTGGCGATAGCCGTCGTTATAGTCGTCTCGGTCGTTGTCGTTATTGTGACCTGCATCCTGCCGCTCATCGGCCTTCCCCCGCTGTCGACGTCGAGCACTGGCATACTGACATGGCGATCCCAAGGTCTTGCAGCGGCTACATCCAGTCTTCTCGCCGCTGCACCTTAGCTACATGCAGGAGCAGGCTCGTGTCAGTCAGAAGAGAGGAGGAAGAAGAAGACTGTAAGAAGGAGTTGGCGGATGAGAAGACAGGTAGGAGGTTCAAATGGCAAGGAAGACAAAGGACAAGTTGAAGAGACAGGAGTAACGGCGAAAGATCGGCAAGGGAAGATCGAGGCGCAGCAACTTCGACATACCTTTTTCGCACGGCATGCATTGCAGGCCTGCCGAGACAGGCTGCGCAGGCCCTGCGACCCATGTACTTGGCGGACGGGCCCTCCCGCGACGGCCATGGGTTGCACCCTCCAAGTGCCAAACATATTGTCTATCACAGGGGAAAAGGAACACACATGTAACGCCAGCAGTGTAGATCGTGAAGAATCCATCCAACAAGCAATGCATCGGCAACGGTGGCCCATGAGACGGGTAATATTACTTCTCTACCAGGTTCCCCCCTTTCCACGCGACTTTCAGCTACATCCGCTTGATCTCCTGACGGACTTCAATTCATCTTAGGGACCAGGATGGGGACCGAGGATGGCCGGTTATACCAATGCCTGGTTTGGCCCGGCGTCTGCACCGGTGCGAAGTAGGAACCCTACGAAACTAGCGTGATGATGTCTGGGCCAGTCCCGTGGCAGGCAGCGGAATGCTACGTAGCAAAGTACGTGAATGAATCGCCGCAGGCACGGACTCGGCCGAGTGTTGGCCAATTAGTAGCAGGAAGAGCACGGAGGAACAAGGTGTTTGCAGCAGGTGTGTGACTTGCAAGGTAGACCAGAACTCCTCGGTACACTCTTCCACAACTCGCAAAGGGCCTCTGGAGCTTGGCGTTCCAGGGACCAGACCACGGAACCAAGGCCGGATTAGCACTGCTAGGCCAAGACTGGAGAATGCATGTGTCGATCTCGGGCCAGTCGGTCGCGTCCGGAGCCTCTTTGCGAACAGCACGCCGGCGTTCATGCCATGTTTATAACTAAGAACCCCCATGTCCCTGTTTGCGCGTTTAGGTCTGTCGCTATGTGCCGTGCCCACTATTAGCTGGACCGTTTTGCCCTGGGGACGATGAAACGCTGCGTCTACCGGGCTGCCTAATTTAGACGGAAAACGTCAGCCCTACTGCACGCTGCTTGAGCGTTTCTGCTGCAAAACCGGGTCCCTCAACGGAGATTCGCCGCGGAGCGGGCCGTCCGGTGCAGTCGAGTCCCTGCAGCAGCCGTGGGGGACGATAGAGAGACCCCTGAAGTTGACTTGAAGGCAACCCCTCCAAGGCGGGACATGGAGCCTCATTCCCTATATTTTACTACTACCAGGGTTCTCACGACACGCTTTGCTGCTAGGGACAGCCATTGGCTTGCAATCGCTTCCCTCAACCGCATAATGCAAGGTCACGAGTCGACCAAGGGGAAGTGCTTTCAGTTGGATTCAACAATGGGTGAAGCAGGCGGCAACTAGTCATCGCATCCCGTCATGACACATGCATTCGTTGTATCTCTCTGTGCAAAACTAGGCCGTCTTCGGCGCCTTGACAAGCTTGATGATGATGCCCTCGGGCTTGGCACCGCTCTTCTTGTACTCGTCCGTCTGGTAGAGCGGGTTGGTCGTGTTGGCCTTGACACCCAGCTGACCGCCGTTGGCGCCGCATCCCAACAGCGCAGCCTTCTTCTGGGCGTCGGTCGCGCCCTCGCCGCCGTCAATGGTGGTCGCCAGGTCAGCGTACAGGATGCTGGAGCTGACGCGCGCGTTGATGTGCTTGGCCAGGGCCAGGACCGTGCCGGCGTTGGGCACGGGCAGGGACCACTCGGCGCAGTCGACGGCCTTGGGCATGTTCCAGAACTTGGCGGCGCCCGTGTTCTGCTCGCCGATGTAGCGCAGGTAGTCGGCAACGTACTGGATGTCCTCCGGGTCGAGCTGCTGCGGCTCGCCACCCGATACGCCGTAGCAGACCTTGTCGGCGCCCTCGCCGCAGGCGCCGCGCGCACCCAGCAGGGGGTTGGCGGCTGCGAGGCCGGCGGCGGCCAGAGGGATGAGGTAGGACGGCTTGACCATGGTGGGCGGTTGTTTCAAGTGGAAAGTGTAGAGGATGGTGGTGGTGGTGGTGAGATTTTGATGGCACACAGAGACAGGCTACGAGAGATCGCAGCCCCTTACACCGGCACCCCTAGGCATTTATAATGCCGCCGCTGCTACTCACACTGCTTCGTGTTGGATATGCGGCCGCAGTAGATACGCCTTTGGCGGCCTGCGATCCATGGTTCCAAGCAATCATCGTGCAAGTTCAAGAACGTTGATGTTGACGGCTTCGCTTACAAGGCCCGTCGTGGCTTGCAGCTGCCTGCTGTCTCACCGTCGTGGTCTCGTTGTACCTATCACGAGATCTAGTTGCGGTCGGATATTAGCCTATAAGGGCTATTCCGAGCGCAATTGCAACCCTATGCTCAACTAGTAGCTGCAAAGTTTCGTGAGACATTTCGTTCTCGCAGAGACAGTGCATGTGGTTGCTCGGCTTACATCGAGTATACGGTTGTACGAGTGTCCGCATTGCCCCTAGCGCGCTGCCGCCTGGGCCGGGGGTTCCAAGCTCTGAGCTTGCTGGAAATGGGCCTCGACGTGAACGCGATCCTTCGGCACCAGGAAACAGCGACAGGGGTCCAGCATCGTGGCGTCGTCTGAGTTAAGGACAGGCTTTCGTCGGCTTTAAGCTTAGCACGACGACTAACCATACCGCAAACTCGTCTGAGATCCGGAACTTTTGCCTCTCCACTGTGCTGCCCTCAACTGGCGGCCCTCGGCTTGCGGCAGCGGCAGGGGGCTTGGCGGCACATAGCACCTCGAATCGACTCACATGTATTGTGCGAATTAGCGCATTGGGTATGTTTTCGCGCCCGGTGGCTAGACGTTCCGAGGCTTGAACGTGTTACCTCGCACGACCGCCATCAAATAGCTCGTCGGCATCGCGACCAAGCAATCTCAGGCTCGAGTCCCGCGGAAATAAACAGCTGGCGGCGATTGCCTAATCGGATCGAATGGCCGAGAAAATGGCTGCACCTCGGATGCCAACAACGTAGCATCGGGCTTCTCGCAACTTGCCGTCGCGACCCCTGTTGGGCCCGGCCGGCGACGACAACCATACTTCGTGCACTGTGGCAACAAAGGAGGCACCCCGACAACACACGGGCGGGGGAAGGCACGTCTTGATAGTATTCTTCTCAACCAAGTCAGCCCACCCAGCATTTGCTTGCCACTCTCCTCAGCGCATCTCGTCAGCGCTCTCACACCACCCGACTGCCCGCCGCCATGCCGTACCCCTCCTACGAGGCCCTCTGGGCGGGCTCCGGCGTGCAGCTCAACCTTGAAGCAGAGCGGCTCTACTGGATCCTCCAGGACCCCATGCACGACTCCATCTTCGTCATGGACCAAGTCAACAACCCCGCGGGACCCCGCCAGCCCGGCTTCCTGCCCGGCACCGCGCCCGACGGAAACGGCCCCAACCTGCACCCTGTTGCGCACGCCTCGCTGTGCGAGCCCCCCATCTCGTCCATCACGGTGGGCAGCGACGAGCTGCAGGATGCCGCCGACTCTTGGGAGGACGAGCACAACTATGACGAGGACGACGACCCCGAGGGCCCGTGTCGCTGCTGTGGCTTGCGACCGCCCCCGCACGTCAAGAAACTCACTGTCGTGGCCGGCAAGGAGGATGGGTTCGTTACGGTTGGCGACTATGTCGCTGCTGTGCACCCGTGGCTCATGAGCCTCCGCAGCCACTTTTTACAAATCAACGCGGGTGGGCGGGAGCCGTGGCCCGAGGACACGAAGCTCATGGTTAGCTTTCCGTACCCCGACGACGTGGCGGTCGAGAAGGAGAGCACATGGATATCATCTCAGCGCATGCGCGTCGTGGGACGGCAGAGGCGTGCAGAGGAGGCGCAGTGGTCCAGGCAATGATGTCTGCGCGCATGGCCTGTATTTGTTTTTAACTTTCTTTTTTGCTTCGATTCAAGTGGCAGTAAATGATCAATGACGAAAGGTGCACGTACACATAATACAAAGCTTCAAGAGGGAAGTGATTGCCGCACACATGCAACAAGCTGCCCTAAGCTAACTGCCGTGACCATCTAATACGCACAAGACTAACACAGCACATCCCAATCACTTGGACTGCGTGCCACACTTCCCAAACAAGGGCTGGCAGCCGTCGCCACAGTCCTGCGGCAGCGATCCGCACCTCCCATTCTTGTTGCAGCAGTTGCCGTAGATAACCTTGCAGGTGTAGGCCTTGGGCCCGCCGCAGGTCCCGTCGGTCGAGTTGCCCGTCAGCCACGGCGGGCGGCCGCCGCCCGTGCCGGGATCAGGCTTGGTGCAGTTGCCCGACTGGCAGTTGTCCTTGCCGCAGAACTCGGGGCCCGTGCCGCACTTGCCCCCGAGGCTGCAGCAGTCGCCCCATTTGCCGGCGCACTGGCGGTTGCCGTGCTGCGCGCCGCATGTGCCGTCGGTGCTCCAGGTCTTGTCGCCAGGGCAGACGCCCTCCCAGCAGATGCCGGGGGCACAGTCAACCCTGTCCCAGCGAAAGAAGAATCGTGGTCAGCTTATGGATTCGGAGATGGCGAATGAAAGGGAAGACAGGGAGGAGGAAGTACGCACTCGTAGTTGTCACCGCAGGTAAAGGTCTGGGAGTTGCAGCATTGCTTCTGTGTGCCGAGGCAGGTCGCGTTGTTGTTGGGAGGACCGCATTTGCCATCGTAGGCTCTCAACGGCTCAATAACTGAACAGAAAAGGATTCACGCAATTAGCGGTGGATTTGCTTGACGGCCCGGCAAAGCCATCTCTTTCAATTGTGGCTGTGGAAACAGGGGGAAGGAACTTACATCCGTTGACACAGTACTTTGTGTTGGGCTGAATGTCGCTGCAGTCCTTCTTGAGCTTCGGGTTGATCACGAAGAACGTCTCGACACTAATGTCGTGCTCGTCCGCCATTTCCGTGCAGGTGTAGTAGTTGACGCTGCTCGGCGACGTGCTCTGCTGTCGACAGTTGACCTCGCCGGCCTTGGGCGGGGCACCGTCGCCGTCGTCAGCGGCCGCCTTGTTGGCCATCTTGAGGGCAAAGCCGTGGGTTGGGTCGCCCCAGGAGTACGGCTGGCACTCATCTTTGGCGACAGCTGGTGCTACCAAGGTCGAGAGGGTGAGCAGCTGGATGTGCACGAGGCCGGCGAGGGCCGCGGCGCGGAGTGAGGCCTTCATCGCGACTGGACGTGCCAAAGAACAATGCACATGAACTGCGACAGGTAGAGAGAGTGAAATCGAGAAATACAAAGAGCGACAGACTTTGGCCACGAAAATGAGAGACTGTTGAGCGATAACTCCGGACACAGCTGGATGCGATGGCAACCCGCGGCTACCACCCCAGGGTAGAGTGGCCCGTCGAGTCTGTATAAGTCAACAGAGCCTAGACTCGAGGATCGACACGCCCCCAACTCCAGCATGGTCCCTTGATCACCAAAATGGCCAATTTTGCTCTTTTCCCATCCTGAATTGCCCCGTCAGCAAATGCCGACCATTCAAGCAAAAGGCCGGCGTGTGATTTCCGTCGTCAAGCCGCGGGTAGCACTGCAGCACTAGTCAAATTCGATGCGATTGCCACATGCAGTAAGTCCGGCCGCACACCGGTTCTGCCCCTGCAGGAACATGAACGCGAGCGAACCCGGTGGTCGCCAGGGCCAGACCACATGCGCAACCCATCGCGTCAACGTCGCATTCGCGTCAGCGTGAGCGACCAGCCGAGCAGCTTTGCGAGACCGATCTTTGGCGTTGTGGTCATGGGACCGCATAAGCGAATTCTGCATACACTTTGCCCTTTGCAGACGTTGCGTGGGATGCGCCGCGTTGAACTCGGTGTCGGGCGGGACTGCCCCTGTCCGTGTAAGTCAAAGGGCACCGCCCGGAAGACTGGACCGTATAAGACAGCTACATGTTCAGATATGAGCATATGGGACTGGCGAGCATCCTCTCTCCTGCCGCTGCGCAGACGCCTCGTGCCGATATCCCCTTGTACTCTGTATGCTTTCCACTCTCTCTACCCATCCACACTCATTCTCGTAGTATCGCCCTTCTGGGGCATCCGCCATCATGGCGCGCCAAAACTTCCCATCACTCCTTTCCTCCATTCTACTTCTCAGTCTTTCCTTCTTGACCGTCTTCGGTCAGTACATCCAGACCTATGTCATCCAGAACCAGCTGCCCAACGGCCGTGAAATCCGGCTATGGCGCCCCACGTCCCAGGACCAGTGGCAGGAGGTCATCGACGTCCACCCGTACGCCGTCTTCCTTGAATACAACTGCTACTACATGACGGCTATTTGTCGCAACGCCGACAACTTCTTTGAGTCGACGCGCGGCCTGAACCGCGGCATGGACAACACTCTGTTCCACCTCGACTTTAGCACGCGCAAGCGGTCGCCCCGCGGCCGCTCGTCTTACAGACGATCCCAGAGCTGCCCGACCGGCTGGGTAGCCGCCAACAACTGCCCTCATACCGACCAGGAGACTGTCTGGCGCCACGACGGAGCGTGGTGGACCACTGCTCTTGCGCCCCCTCCAGATGGCTTGAACTTCATCCTCGCGCCACTAGTGATCGGCCCGGTCACCAGAGAGTCGGGTGTCTACTACACCTGCGACGAGTTCCCTGCCGCTTCGTGGATCGAGGGTGGTGACGGCACTGGCATCGCCGGCAACGGCCGCGAGGGCGGCGCGTCGCAAACCCGATGCGCCGGTTTCCAGTGCCGCTCCGGCGTCAAGGCCGAACAGAACTGGCAGGCCACGGCGCATCGCTACCTACGCTACGAGCTCAAGCGCATCATCAACGGCCTGGGTATCTGGCCGCCCGGCGTCGACAGGAACAAGCAGATTGCCGGGTTCCATTTCCGCATGACGAGCTCTGCCAACGGCGTCGCAGCGCGCGTCATCGGCTACTCGGCGCTCGACCCGGACGTTGTCGACAACACGAGGCCTGTGTCGCAGGCCAAGCGTGACGAGCAGTCACCCGAGGAGTTTCGCCGCTGGGCGAACACCGTCACCATGGAGGAGCTCGAGGAGCTCACCAGCGGGACGCTGAGCCAGCACATCATCTATTCAAACGAGAGTACTCCGGCATCCCCTGAGGATGGCGAGGACGAGGAAGACGAGGAGAGTGACAAGGCCTGGCGCGAGCTGCTCCAGCGGTCTCTTGCCGCCGCCTCCAGGGTGACGAACCTTCGTGAGGTCAACGGCGTCAAGAAGGTCCCCAGTCACAGCGTGGACACCACCCCGTCTCCTGACACGCTGAACCCCAACCCCATCGTTAAGAGAAACGTAACGGTGAATCACGCGCCTCTCGTGAAAAACACCACCATGTCTGCCATTGAGCGGGCCCGCAAGATTGTCGACAAGGCCATCGACGAGTCGAGCAAGCTCAACGCCGCCCGCCTGGCCAACCCCCTGCGCAACAGGTACGAGCTGAAGCCCGGCACCGTGACGGGCGCCCTCAAGATCCGCCAGAACAAGGACAAGGACGCCGCGCCCGTTCACCAGCTTCTCAACATTACCGACGAGATTGCCGCTGCTGCCGCTCTCGTCGCAGAGGATGATGCGCGCCAGAACCGCCACAACGTGACGCAGAAGGTCTGGAGGGCGGCCGCCGCCGCGAGCCAGTCTGGCTCGTACTGGATGGAGCACATTGCTCGCAAGGGCAGCGTCCCGTGGGGCGACGACCCGAGCTACAAGGTGTATCGCAACGTCGTCGACTACGGTGCCGTTGGTGATGGCGTCACGGATGACACCAAGGCCATCAACAAGGCTATGCAGGATGGCAAGCGATGCGGTGAAAAGTGCAATGGCTCTACGACTAAGAATGCCATCATCTACTTCCCTCCGGGCAAGTACCTTATTTCTACGACGATTGAGATGCCATTTGGCACCCAGGTGATTGGAGACGTGAGTGCACCCATAGCTGGGCCAGGTGCTCCCCTCCTGTCATGGTGTATGTTTATCTGACTGTATCTGTAGGCAAACAACCGACCGACTCTCATTGCCTCGAAGCGCTTCATCGGCCTCGGCGTCCTCTCTACCGACAAGTACACGGGCGGCGGCACGGGCATCGACGGCCGCGACCAGGAGTGGTTCGTCAACACGGCCAACTTCTACCGCCAGCTGCGCAACATCCGCATCGACATCACCGACACGCGCGCGTCCCAGAACGTGGCCTGCCTGCACTACCAGGTCGCGCAGGCCACGAGCATCCAAAACGTCGAGCTGATCGCCAAGGCCGGCACCGGCCAGAGGGGTATCTTTGCCGAGAACGGCAGCGGCGGCGTCATGTCCGACATTACCTTTACTGGCGGTGGCTACGGTATCTACGGTGGCAACCAGCAGTTTACGGCGCAGCGCCTCACGTTCAATGGCTGTGACGTGGGTGTTCAGGTCATCTGGGATTGGGGCTGGGTATGGAAGTCCATCACCATGAAGAACGTCAAGACTGGATTCAAGCTCCTCCAGGAGGAGAAGAAGCCGGCGTCGAAGAGGTCAAAGCGTGATGGCAAGAACTCCCCGAACGGCAACATCGGCTCCATCTCCGTCATCGACTCGAGCTTCGAGGGTGTCGGCACCGCCGTGTTGATCGCGCCGCCAAACTCCAAGCCTGGCACGGGCAGCACCGGTGTGGTGATCGAGCACGTTTCCTTCTCCGGCGTCGACAAGGCTGTCGCGGACACGAGCGGCAAAACGCTCCTCGCACCATCAGCCATGGTCGACCACTGGGCGCTCGGTCCCGTCTACTCGTCCAAGGCGGCTCGATCCTTCTCTGAGGGTGGCAAGATCACCGGCTTCCACCGGGACTCTGACCTGACCGACAGCAAGGGCAACTACTTTGAGCGCCAGAAGCCGCAGTACGAGAACAGCGCGCTCGGCGACTTTGTCCACGTCAAGGACTTTGGCGCCAAAGGTGACGGCGTCACGGATGATACCGCCGCCTTCCAGACTGCGCTGTACGGCAGCCAGGGCAAGATTCTCTTTGTCGACGCAGGCTCATACATCCTCACCGGTACTGTTACTGTGCCTGTGGGTTCCAAAATTGTGGGCGAGACGTGGTCGCAGCTCGTTGCAAAGGGCAAATATTTCGGAGATGCCACGTGAGGCCCCAATGAGCCCGGTTTAGTGTTTTTGTGATGATGATGCTGACGACTTTCTAGCAAGCCCAAGGTCATGCTCAAGGTCGGCAATGCCAACGACGTCGGCTCCATCGAGATGCAGGACCTCATCTTCACCAGCCGCGGACCCGCGCCGGGCTTGATCATGGTCGAGTGGAATGTGCGCGCCAGCAGCCCCGGTGCCGCTGGTCTCTGGGGTAAGTTCCTAGTCTAGCAGCGCTGACTCTGTCCATGACCTCCCATATTCGCTACTTTGCCACAAAGATGCTGAGGCTGACGCTACCTATAGACTGCCACGCCCGAGTTGGTGGTGCCACGGGCACCGACCTCACTCCCAAGGAATGCCCGCCCTCGAAGAGCGGCATCGACGAGGGCTGCAACGCCGCGAGCTTGATGATGCACATCACCTCCAAGGCCTCTGGATATTTCGAGAACATGTGGCTCTGGGTAGCCGACCACATGATTGAGTTGGTCTTCCTCTGCCTTGCGCCGCAGCGTCTGGCATACTGACACTTGGCTAGCGATCCTGACCTGAACGACGCCAACAATGACATGGTAAGCCGATACAATGCTTCTATCCTGCAGTGTTAGTGCCATGCCTATGGTCGATGGTGCTAACTGTTAATCGCGCAGGTTCAAAACTCCGTCTACGTGGCACGCGGTCTCCTCATTGAAAGCCAGTCCCCCGTCTGGCTCTACGGCACCTCGTCCGAGCACTCCGTCTTCTACCAGTACAACTTCCACAACGCCAAGAAGCTCTTCGCTGGCATGATCCAGACCGAGTCGCCCTACTACCAGCCCACGCCCAAGCCGCCTCTGCCCTTCAAGGACGCCGTCGGCGTCTTCGCCGGCGACCCGAGCTACAAGTGCGCGGCCGACGACGAGTTTAGCGGCTGCGACGAGTCCTGGGGCGTCATCATCAAGGGCTCTGAGAATGTCTTTATCGCTGGCGCGGGCATCTACTCGTGGTTCTCGACCTACACGCAAGACTGCAGTGAGTCCTACCACCAGACTTTATGCAACGCAATGATCGGGAGATGAGGCTAATTGCATGTCCCTAGTCGACACACAAACATGCCAAAAGGTCATGGTCCTCCTCGAGGAAAACCTCGAAAACGTCCGCATCCAGAACCTCATCACCATCGGCGCCAAGTACGTCGCCGTCCAGGACGGCAAGGGCATCAAGGCTACCGACAACCTCAACGTCGACTCGCACCCGGAGTGGACGCAAATCTCCGTCTTCGACGTAAGCCGCAGCGCGCCCGGCTTCGAGGACCTCACGTGGATCGACCCCAAGATCTGGCAAATGGACACCCCCAGCTTCACCTGCTCGGCGCCCTGCACCGTCAAGATCCCGCCTTGGACGGGCGCCACCCGCGTCGTCAACTATCCCCTCATCACCGTCAGCAGTGGCGGCTGGACGAGCACCATTACCAAGCCGCCGCTGACGTTGACCAAGATGGTGTTCAAGCCCGTGACTATCACGGCTGGCAGCGCCAAGGGTAAGGGAAAGCGACAAGGCCTGGAACCATTCTTCCCCATCCCGGCCACGACTCCGGCATGGCCGCAGGTCAAGTATACGGGCCCAGACGGAAAGGAGTCCTGGGCCAGCCCGACTGGTCCATTCCCGACGCCTCCTCCCTCGATCGGACCGGACGCGAAGCCGCCCAACTCTGGCAACTGGCCGAAGAGAGCCATCCAACCCATGATTGGCGTCGACACCTCTCCCTGGGTTGGCCGATGCGAGTTCTGGGACTTTCCCTGCTACCAGCAGCCGTGGCAGTACGGCGACGACCCCTGGGGTATCGGCGGCACTGGCGACGACGGTGACGACTGGGACGGCAATGACGTCCCCGATGAGGAGATGATTACATGCCCGGCCAAGTCGTCGTCATCCTCCAGCTCGTCGACCAAGACGACCACGACGACCTCGCCGACGCCCAAGCCCTCACCGCGACAGGGTGACCCCCGCCTCAACTCGCGCCACTGCTACAACTCGGGATACGCCGCCAAGCACGTGCGCATCGACAACGCCATCAAGTCATACTGCAACCAGCTCTACGACAAGGGCTCCCTCCTCAAGGCAGGATACTCGTACGAGTTCAAGTTTCCGTTTTCCGGAGACCCGTGGCCGCTCCTCGTCACCATCAGTCTCAAGGTCCTGGACAAGTGCAGCTGGGTCAACAAGGAGACGGCGTTTGCGAGGTCAGTGAATGACTTTGGCAGCAACAACGGCACCGACATTGAGAAGCGAGATGTCATTGAGGGCAAGGAGCTCTGCTCCAAGTACCTGCATGCCATTATAGATAGCTGCAACTGTGGGGGTGTCGACGGGAAGCAGGGTGGAACGTTGGAAAATGACTGTTATGAGTGGAGGATTGACCCCAACACAGATTGGTAGACAACGAGAGCTCGCACTGGACTTTTGTCCAGTCCAAGTCTGTAAACGGCTTGTACATGTAGCATATTAGCTTGCTCAAAGATATACAATGATATTGTTTTCCCTCGTGCAAGCAGGCTTTGACTTGACATCATGGTTGGTCCGCAAAGTTGGATCGATCAAGTGCGACTCTACTTGATGCACTGTACAAGTGGAAGAAAACACCAAGCGCTTCACAGATGATAAGTGAGCGATTCAGTCGGAAAGAAATATTGATTTGCGCCCAGCTCTAGTGTTTTCTCTATCCTATACCTACGTCATTCGTAAGGTGACCCGATAGTCACATCCGCTGCAACTCGCTCTACACCTATCGGTCGCAAGTGATGAGGCCACTGTCAGTCGCGTAGCTGCATCGGCCATCGTGCTGAGTGCACTGTTGTAGTATGATCAGCATATGGCTCCCGGCACCAAACCAACTTGAAGGTGGCCGGCCACCTCGATGGGACGCATCAAGATGAAGCCAAGGGAAGCCACTCACCTCTGTGTCGCAGGGCCAGTCCACAAATGCGAAGCGAAGGCCGCCGCCGGCGTTATACCGAGGGAAGCGAAGACGGCACTTGTTGGAGGGCTGGTTGCATTGCTGCGGGCTTGTTAGCCATCATTGTGGGTGTCGATGAGGACGGGAAATACACTTACACCATAGATGACGGCCCGCTCGGCCAAGACGCCGCTGGCGAGAACGGTGAGAAGGGCGAGTGCGTACTTCATTGTGTTAGGTGTGCTCTGTTGGTTGTCGAGGGTGTAATACGTGTTCGACAGCGAGTAATTGCAGGAACGTAAGGGGGTGAAGAACGGGGAGGTCTCAAGGTGGCCAAGTCTGTCGGAAAGAAGCGGGTTTATATGGAAGAGTTCAATTCGAGAAGGGGCTATATCAAGAATCTACAGCATGTCTTCGAGAATACTTCTGACCTTAATTTTACGCAACTATTAGCATATGGCTCAGTCTATGCGAGGGTGGTCAATTGTCAACACCACGTTAGTTTTCTCCAGAGTTGCGTAATGATACATGTTTTGTGGGCGCATAGACCTGCTTCCTCCTCTGCGCACCGTGATTTGACGAAGAATTACTACAGTAGTGGTCACATACTTTGGGCGTAACGGTTGTCCGAGTCCGAACATGAATCACGGCACGGGCCGGCGTGTGCCGTTGCATTCGTCCAGAGCCACATCGGGGCTGCAGCCACCCTTCACGGAGCATTGGTTACTGACGATTGACCGCTGGCACGGTCCAAAGAACAAGCCGCGGTAAAATGCTGTGGCAATCAGGGCGACGTGCTCCAGTCTAGGCGCGTCGAGTTCTTGAAACAGTATATTCGTATTTCGCATGCCCTGTGCTGTGTGACACTATCGTCGATATTCTTCCGGGCCCTGGCAGATCGAAGGCTCGACAGGGCAATGGCACTGGCGTCAGCAATTACTGACATCGAGCGTGGTCACTAGAGCGTACAACAGCGTCACGATCCTCTGCCTTGAACAGCGTGTCCGGCCTCGGAATTGGACGCACTCGGTCCAGCTGTCAAGCATTGAGCGATTGATAAGCGAGGAGTGGCCATGTGCATGTTCTCTGTCGTTTTTATGGTGCCTCGCTCCACGCTGCCACGTTTACACACTGGCTGCATGTGTGTTGGCCAACAGAAGTTGCGCAGCGCCCACCCTCTCTTGGCTCAACCCGGGCTGTGCCTGGCGGCTTGACTTCAATTCGTCGCCTGACACGAGCGTTGGATCATAATTGAGTTGCTTCGTATGCGTGTGGAGCGTGGCGATTCAGCACGCATTCTCACCGACACCAACCGCAGCAGGGGAGATTCATCATGCATTCGAAGCAGAATGATACAGTACTGCAACTGAAACAGCACCAGCAGCAAGCTGTCAAGGCCGAGCGTCGTCTCGGAAATACGAGCACAAGGGACCAGCAACAGAGAGCCCACACGGCGCAGCATCAGCCGATTGGGCCAAGTCTCGGCAGAATCCCCCCCGGCCAGAGTGGGGCCCGCCTCCGGCTTGGCCGGTTTCGGTGCCGGGAGACGGGGGAGCCGACTCGGCCTCTTGGCTGATCGGCGCGCCGGTCAAGTAGCCGACCCGATGCCCTGAGAGGAAGGCGACAAAAGGACGGCTGCCTGTTTCCGAGACACGCGGCGACTCCGCGGACAGTTTATCCCAATGCCTGTGTGGCCTGCGTGTCACGGG